GACGATTTGATTATGTTTTGGACTAAAATTCTCACACTTATCCAATAAGCATAATCCCTTTAGGTTGGGCTACTGCATACGCGTTATTCTCAATAAATCGGTTTAGGTAACCATTTTCACCAAGCTAGGCATTTCTAAAGGGGAGAGTTGCACGCCGACTTAGTCAGAACTACAAATATCTCTTATCCTATGTTGGAGGGAGGGGGTGGATCGAATTTCTTCCTTTATTGGAGATAAGCGCCTATCTGGAGAAATTTCGTCTTTCTGTCTGTAAATCTCTACACTGAGACTAAACTGAACCTTAGATTTGCATCTCACATAGGTAGGTTGTTGGTGATCTCATGTTTACACTATGTGCATCAATATAATCACACATATAGGATTACCAACAACCTTCTTCGAAGAAATCTTATTCAGATACATCGTGTACCACGTCCTTATAGCAGATAACGAAAGTGTCGTCTGCATATCATCCATAAACATCAAGGCAAGCAATGACTGAGCTAAGCGTTGTTAAGCTTTTGCCATCAGATACATCGCACTGAACAAGGCACTCTCCGAGAACTCATACGGCCAGCCAGGTAATAGCTTACGGAGTTATCATCTGACAGCTGTGATGACAACCAGTGGTGTCCGTCAGGGATGCCAGCCCACTGTCCCCTTCCTTACCTGTTTAATGTCATCGTAGATGTACTAATGGACTAAAACCTAACTGACTTCAGAGACTCAGGGATTGGGTTGTTACCACCAGGGAATAATCGCGTTGACTTAGAATATGCGGATGACATAGTCCTGCCTCCTTGATAAAGATGCTGACAAAACGCAGAGTCTTCTGAACACACTTTGAGGAGCAGTAGTCTTCGAATGCTTGGAATATGATTCGCTCCATCTGTCAGATGTAAGATGATGTACAGATGATTATGACTCACCACTAGCTTAAAGATAGACAGGAGTGCAGTAGTAGATTGTGTTGACCACTTCAATTATTTGGGAAGCTAAATCAGCGAACGCCAGCGAGTTGGCCGCTGACGAAATTTCAGCACGGATGCAGAAAGCTCGTTTAGCATGTATTATAAGCCAACTGACGCCATCTCTTGCTTAGTAGATCAAGGGATGTGTGTACTGCTCAGCAGTTCTCTCCGTCCTCCTTTATGACTGTCAGACACACCCAATGAAACTAGAGGATATGAAGAGGCTGGCTAGCTATCTTTGATCATAGGGGTCTCCCTTCTATCTCCTATGTTAAGTGGTATAATAGGGTGAGCAATATTGGGGTTAGAGGTTAAGTGGTAGGTAAGAAGAGGAAATCAATCGATGAGGTTGCGAAGCAGCTGCGTCTAGCCATCGCCTTCCTCGACGGGCAATGTTAGCTGATATAGGATTAGGTCATTGGAAGAGAGCTGCTGGTAGTCAAATAAAAACGTAACTTCATTAATCAATGAAATCCATAACATTTGGTTCCCTTGATAAATTTCGATAAAGAAAGACAGACTGATTTGCAGCATAAAATGATATCGTCATTCTATTTCACAGGTTCTCATCAGCTAACTGCAAACTACCTGAAATTACAATGGTTATAAATAATGACATTTCATACTTCAATGTTTGAAAGGTAATAAAGAAAACATTATAAGGTGAATGCATTCGGAATATAAGCATTGAAGTTATTAGTTTAAGTCACCATGAATTTATATGCTTTCAAACCATGAAAAATATAGGGGTGAGTGAGAGAAGACAGAAAACAGAAAAATCTAATAAACAGTGTTAGCTTGTGTGTCTGTCTACATAGCAACTCAAGAAGGTTAAAGTTCATCAAATTGAAAACTTGCTCAGTGAACTAAGCTCACTAATGTGTATGACTAATCAGTGTAATCAAAATAATACTGTTACCAAGGCAGTGAGAGATTGACTACACTCTCTCTGTCTGTTTGCATAAGATTGGTCTGAAACGCTTGATTGCAGTTGTTTGAGCGAGTCGTAGTAGATTCGCTGTCCTTTGTATGTTTAATATTTTGAAGGATTTGGAAATCTCGACGAAATGACCTGTATCCACAGGGTGGGTGTCTGGTAATTCCACTTTGAGAATATCTGCTTCTTCTTTGGCATATGTTTCTTGGAATATGCTCTGAAAACTGGGTAGAAGCCCTTCTTTCTGTCCTACCAATGTACTTGCTCCCGCAAGTGCACATAAATTTATAAATACAGTTGTAGGTAACATCAACAGGGTACTTATCCAGTTTCGATTGGCTTATAGAGCATATAGTGCTGTATAGCATCACCAGCTTAGCTGTAGGGAAGCTTCTTTTTATTGCTCCTTTCATTCTCTTGTCAATCTTTTGTGATACTGCTTCGCCTTTGAATGAGAAACGAATGAACACTTTCTTCTTTTCAACTGTTGGATACTTCGCTTTCTTATCCTTTTCTTTGCTACACTTTAGGATAAATCCCTTTGGATACCCGTTTTCCTTTAGGCATTTTTCAACAAAGCTTAATTCTTCTTCTACCTTGTTAGGCGAACATAACTTCCTGGCTCTGTCGTACAGTGAGTGTCCTTACTAATCCCTGCTTATAAATTATGGGGCAGAAGCTGTTGTAGTGCAGATATTGTCCCGTCCAGATTTCTTTTCTGTAGATGGACTTTTCGACCGTTCCACCGTTTCTTCTTCTTACATTATGGTTCAGGAAATTGAACTCATCGTTGTGTTCATATTCCAATGGTGAATTTAATGTTTGTGTGGATCTCAATAAAGTGGTCAAATAATACAGATGAATGGCCCATATCGTTACAAATAACAAACGTATCATCGATATATCGGTGATAGTACGTTGTTTCATTGATAGTATCACATGAATTCGACTGGGACAACCAACGTTCAAATATTAGACAGAGGAAACACCAAGAATTCTAGAGAATTTTTAGAAGGCTGCCTGGTATTCCAGTGAATCGTCAATCAATAGACAGACTGACGTAGAGAAAATTTACCAATCGATAAGAAGGAAATCTCACACACAAATGGTCAAAGTTCAAGTCAAGGAAACAATCAATACTGATACAAGGAGACTAGAGGGTGTGAAAACAGACGAAAGCAACCAATGACGACGTTGAAGGTTACCAGGAGAGATGACTAATAAATTCATGGACAAATCTAAAAACTCACTTTAATTCGAATTGAAGTATGCACTGTAGATGTTGCCTAGTAGGGTAATGAAAGCTTTACAAATAAACCATCCAGCTAACTTAGAGAACACGACCACATCAAAATCATCCACCTGAGCTACAAATCTTCTTCTCCATCATATCTCAGTCTTACGAGGGAAACACACTTCTTTCTGTTCGAAAATGGGGAGACTTCGCCAAAAGGCAAGGATCCAGCAGAGAACAATTATTCTTTTTCCATGAGTGCCTTCGCCATCAAATCCTACCGACCAGTGTCAGATACAAACCACCAGTCAACTGCCCAATGGGATGGAAACTGGCCGAACAACGTGGAAGACGAATGGTCAAATTAATGATTACAAACGCACATTATCGGATCAACAAATATCAACAAATAATAGATGCCGAAAAAGAAAAAAAACTAGAGAAAACCCTCAACCAGGAATACCTGTCAACGCTGATCACCGCAATTACATTGTCAAGTAGAAAACACAGAGAACAAAGACGAAGAGTCCTCAAAACCAGGCTAGCCAAAATAAAAAAACAACAACCAGACAATGCACCTACTGACTTCTATTTAGTCAACCTATCAATAATGGAACAACAACTACTACAAAAAGGACAAAAACTACAACACTGAGGACGCTTCATAAACAGATTTCTTCGCTGCCCTTGATTCATCACTCAAATCACCAAAAACTTAAACTAGGAAACACAAGAAGAGAGAGATACTTCGAACAATCGTACTCATGGTCAAACAGAAAAAACAACAGACACACAGCTCAACTCTCAAAAACTGACGGCCTTCAAAAAGCTGAAAAATACGAAGGACATCTTTATTCTACCAGCTGACAAAGGATGGACCACATTAGTCATGGACAAAGAAAAATACATCAATAAAGGTGAAGAACTACTCAAAGGTAAGGATTTGTATGATATCAACAACTCATAACAGATATCATCCAAACATTGGACAGCCGCATCCAAAGAACCTTAAACAAGTTCACCAAAACAGGTCAGATCACAAAACAAGACCGATGGCGATTGAAATCCAGTGGACCAGTTCAACCTCGATTCTACGTCAGACCAGTGACCAGTAGGATACAACAGGTTGAAGGTGAGGAGGACAGTTACTCATAGAAGAAGACATTGAGAAGTGGTTGCGCTATGTCATGAATTGACAGAAGTTAGAATCCATGCACTGGCTGGCCATTGAATTGGGTCCCAATGGCTTAGTGGTCTAAGAGCTAGCTCGCCGGCCTTGTAACCAGTAGGTCTTGGGTTCGAATCCTGACGGTGGTGGGTGCGTACTGTGAAGAGTCCCAAACTAGGCTGGTGAAACAGTTGGCTGTCCAGTACTCCCTAGTTGGTGATCCAATGGTTGTCTAACTGATGTCAGCTCATGATGAAATCCTTCAACCAATCAAACAAAATATCCCTACAAAACCAATACTTGAAAATTAATCTACTCTCTCTTGTTTTTATTATTTATTATTATCATTATTATTATTGTAAGCAGTCGAGGATAATTAGTCTGGGAGTATTAACAGTGTAGAATTTCAATTTCCTCATTAATTTTTTCCCCATTCTATATCCGGTCGCATGGTTTCATATAATATGCAATTAAAATTTGCATTGCATTAATTGAGGGGAACAATTTCTGAAAAACATATCGTATACAGATAAATTATATGATATTATGTAATTAATTGCAGAAATTGTCTCTCATGCAATAATATGTCCACACAATAATCATTATTATTATTATTATTACCATTATTATTATTATTTTTTCCAATCCTGAGTAATTTATATAAATAGGCAGACAGTATTGCATTGTAGTAGGAGAGTACTCACATATTAGAATTTTGTGATCCGTTACTGCCATCCACTTTTGTTTTCCTCTTATATTTTTGGTTTTGTGAAAAACAAGAAATATATATAATCAAACATGAGCCATTTAGCCAGTGCTGTGGTGACAGTCTTATGCCTTCTCAATTTTGCCTTCATTATAGTATCTGATGGATTTCCTACAGGTGAGTGAATACTAATTGTAATTTTAATGTATTCTAACTGCATTTCGACTATTCCGCTCGATTTAATTAAATAATTTTACAGGTTAACATTCATAGCTTACATGGTAGGTAGTTGATATAAGTATAAAACTTGGGCACTGTGGTGGTGGTAGAGTATAACTCCATTATGGATAAGATTTTATTTTGATAAATAACACACTGGTTATGTTTACTGATGCGACCACGTTTCGAGCACAAATTATGACTGCTCATAATCATATCAAGTCACTCACTCACACAACTTTTTTCCTTCATTTATATACATGTGTGGAATTGATTAGACATTTGAATAAAGTCAGTATAAGATAATGTACATTCAGAAATAATAATATTGGTGTTATCAATCAAGTACAATCAGATGGGAAATAAGACGAATGTTTTTATAGTCAAAATAAGCAACTTGTTAGAATGTTGTGATGTGTTTGAATTGAAATAGAATTTTAAGATTATTTATTATCCTCTTATGATTTGACTAACTGGTGGTAATAATATCTTCCATATTTCTGGTATTTGCATTGAGTCATTTCTGTTGCATGTGTTGTGTTGGGTGTAGACTCGATGAACCAGGCAGGATTCAGTAATCAATGTCTCTCTCCACCTACATAGATTACTTCGTAGAATTTCGACCCTCTCTCGCACCACCGTATTTTGTGGTTATGTGTTAATGCATGTAGTGCTGAGTGCTTTTTTCTAAATTACTTATCTTCTCGGGGTCAATCATTTTAATCTTAGCTAAATTCTTATGTTCTGACAATCTGATTACCCCCGATCTACTAGTTTGACCTATGTAACTGACTTCACAGTCATTGGAGGGTATTTTGTAAACTATATTACTTTGTCTAATTAGGTCAACATGGTCCTTTAACCTACAGAGCTTTTCCTACCTGAGTGAGTTTGTAGGTTTGAATGCCACTCTCTTTCCTACTTTATTAGGAATCCTACGTAGAGGGTCTCAGATGTCCCCTCCTTATATGGTAAAACTACTGTAGATGCCTTATATTCTCCCTTATTTATGTTATCATTATTAGTTTCACAATTATCTTTAGTTTGCTTTTGGCCTTTTTCGATCTTCCTAATGAATTTTGTAGCATAGTTATTTGATACCAACGCTTCCTTCATCTGTTTTATTTCATCATTTAGGTCTTTTCTTGTGCTACTTAGTGCTATTGCTCGGTTTTTTAGACACTAAACTAACCCCTGCCTTAGCAGTTAACGGATGAGACGAACTAAAGTCTAAACATCTATTAGCAGAATGCGTTGGTAGGTAGTTGTCAACGTAGAGGATGTATTTAGCAAAGGTTTTTTGCGTTATCCTCCTGTTCTTCATCCATTTGTGTTTCAAGTGGACAATAATGTTGTAGGGTTTCAAACTGGATTCTAACTCCACTATAGATAAGATTTTATTTTGATAAACCACACATTGTTACACAATAATATTTACTGATGACCAAGTTTCGAGCACAAATTGTGACTGCTCATAATCATATCAAGGCACTACTCACACAAATTTCTTGCTTCATTTATATACTTGAGTAAAAACTGATCAGACATTTGAATAAAAATCAATATACGATAGTGTAATTATTAGTGTTCTCCGAGCTGGTTGGTTTAGTTGCGGAGCTTTCGTCGTCCCACTTCTAGACAACATCCCTTTTCAGCGCAATTTTAGCATAAAGTGAAATGATTTAAATCTCTTCATGAGTAATATAATTGCGTCTCCCGGTAACCATCTTTACATATGTATTGATTATTTTCTATTGACTAGGATTTTAAACTTTCTGGTCACCGTGATTTACTTTAGTTGGTATATTTCGTCTATATTAACATGTTTGTTAATTGCATTTTCGTTTGAGTACCAAGCTTCTAGGAATTCCCTGACTGCACTTTTGGTGTTTCCTCTGTCTAAGATTTCGACATTATCCCAATCAAATTGATGTCCATAATTGTCTATATGCATTGATTTGAATAAATATATATCGTGTCTTTTCACGGTTGATTTGTGTTCCTGTATTCTGACTCGAAGGGGACGCTCACTTTGGCCGATGTAATGACTGTTGCGGTCCATACAATTTATTTTGTAAATGGTATTAATTTTATCCCTTTTTTTCTGTTGGATCTTTCGGTTTACATAGTATCGAATGAGGTGATTGTGCTGGCTGGCTGGCTTGTATGCCATATCTATATAAAACGGTTTCATTTTTGTACCTGTTATTTCAGAGGTATTTTTCATGTATGGTAGAATGATAATGTACATTCAGAAGTAATAATATGGAAGATATTAATATCACCAATCAAATCAGAGGAGGATAATAAATAATCTTAAAATTCCACTTTAATTCACGTACATTATAACATTCTAACAAGTTACTTATTATGACTAAAAAAAACACTCGTCTTATTTCCCATCTGATTGTAATTGATTGATAACACTCATATTATTATTTCTGAATGTACATTATCCTATGTTGATTTTTATTCCAATATCTACTCAATGTCCTACAGGTCCAACGGTGCTGAGAAGATTGTTAGGATAGAGATTAGGCTAAAAGCAGTTTTGATGAGTTGATCACGTACTGATTGATTGATCAGTTGGAGAACCATTGAAAACCAGGGAGTACTCACCGCTGTTTCATCCTAGTTTTTACAATCATCGGAAGTACACACCCACTGTGGTTCGAACCCAGGACCTTCCGATTACAAGACATGCTCGTATACCATTGAGCAGTTACCGACATAGTGTAAGTTTTTTTGCACTATGCTGGGGAATGGGAATGTAACAGCAGTAAGGTGTTTACCCCAGATGACCAGCATGTCAGCTAGTTATGCTGTCTGCTCACTCTGGAGAGAAAGAGGGTTAGGAAAGGTATACCCCAAAAATTGTACATCCCGACTTACTCCACCTACGGTGGTCCATAGTCGGCGGTAAATTTACTAATACCACAACCAAACCAAAAAGTCAGTTCAGACAGGCCATGTGTGATCGGCCTCGAGCAGTTGTCCCATGGACTCTGCGGTTGAACAACACTAATTCTTTTTCTGTTTCAAATACCTCAAGAAAAAATCAACAACTTCCACGGTGTGAGTAGACGGGAGGTAACAACCGCTCACACACTACCAAAAGCACACGAAGCCCCCTCCCCCAGTCGATCAGTCAATCAGTCACATTTCTATTTAACTCTGTTCATTGTCTTTCTTCTTAGTCGATTCCATGATTGCCTATAAGCTTTTATCTTCTCCATATTACACTCGGTCCCACATAGAATTAGTCGATAACGATTAGCGTTCCACTCTAGGATCTGGCGCATGATATCACTCAGTGGTTTTTTTGTCTGTCTGACTGTCTGGATTCAACATAGAACTTGGAACCGAAGTGCAGCAGTTCGAGTTGCCACGTTCCAAAGAGCACACAAAAGTAGACAGGCAAATGAGTGAAGAGAATCAATAGAGTTTTGACAAGTATAAGAGTGAAACTGAATGAGTAGTTGCAGAAAGGAATATGAAAGATTACAGAGACTGAATACATCTGCGCCACTGACAACGATTTTGAGGCATGTCACCTATTGTCTCCAGCCATTGATTCTTGGAGTCCCGAGGGCCCCAACCCGGAAGTCTGCATATCCCTACCTGACTCAGTTTAACTGACAAGGATTTCATGGATTGATGCGATGTTTTTGTTTGGCCACCGCTTACTCTTTTCCAACCTGCACCTATGTCAGCTAGTAATGCCCGTCGGGGTGGGGGAGGCGATGGTTAGGCACGCGCAGCACGTGACCTAGCCATCTCAATCTATGTAACTTTATAGCCTCTTCGATTGATTTTCCCTCTTTGCCCAACACTCTACGCCTAACGTCAACATTACTTACCTTATTATACCACCTAACGTGAGAAAGAGATCGTAGACATCTATGATCAAAAGCAGTCAACCTTTTCATGTCTTCAACTCATATTGGCCATGTTTCAGTATGTATCTATTGGATCCACCTGCAAATCCTTCAGCATATTTGTTAAGCAATTGATTATCGGTTGGTTCGTTGTGAGGGTTTTTCTTTTAGCTTAACACTTTTTGTCATATAATCTTCGGCATGGATCTGAGTGGGCGGCGGTTAATAGAAGTTTCTACAATTGGAAGTGTGTGTCGTTGGCACAGCAGTAGAGTGCTCACCGACCAAGCCTCATGTGGTCCAGGGTTTGAACTCCAACCAACGCACTCCTTTACCTCGCTAAGCTAATAGTAAGACTGGTAAATAGGGAAGGTTGGGCATGAGGCTAGCAACCTCATCCTGTAAAAACAAATAATCACCACTGTTACTGAAACTTCAAGCCTCTAGCTTGAAGCCCTATGTTCCACTGGGAACGTAAAGGAATAAAAAAACAGTTGGAAGTACTTTTGGGACGCTGGTGTCGAATCTTTGGACCATTTAGAAGTATTGACGGATTTGACAGTTAGTGTTGGTAATCTGGATTTTGTTTCATCTGTCGAGTGCAGCAGATTTCCACAATGACTTCAGATTGATGAAGGTTTGTATGGGTGGTGATGGTGTTTTTTTACAGGGCGGAGATGCTAGCCACAAACGCCTAAACTTCCCTCTTTACTGGGTTAAGCGACTTGTAGGAGTGCGTAGACCGGGAATTCAATCCGCACAGATTAGCGCGGTTGGAGATGAATCTGTCATTGAACAGTCGACGCACCCATTTAAATGGCACACTGTTATTTATATTATAGTTTGGCGTCAAAACTAAAGCAAGATACAGGGAGTCTATGTGTCATTTTTTACTTGAGAAGCCTATCTGAGAATACGAGCATTGATCTGGTAGGTTCGTGTTAACATTAATGAAAGGGATAACGATATCTTAGGCATGAAGTCCTCTGATTGACTTTTTCTTGTCACCTAGATGTCTGTGACTTGACTTCAGTGTATTTTTGATTCGTCATATTCACCATATGATCTAGTTATGATGTCGATAAAAGTCAAAAGACAACAGTTAATTTTTGCTTCATAAAAACACGGAAAAACTGATGAAACAGAAGGTCAAAACTCTAAAAATAAATAAAACCTGAGATTCTTTTTGGTAGGACAAATTATAGACAGTTAAACACTTAATATCTGAATTTGACACTGGTTAGTATATACCATACTGTGTTATTTCCTGGTGGTCATGTCAAGCTTGTATGTCAAAATGACTCAACAAGTAGTTACGTTCCTGCAATTCCTACCATACCGTTAAAGTTGGGTTGACAGCGGCGGTGAGAACAATCTCATTTAAGTTGTTTTCACTATGTTGATGGTCTGAGACTGAGGTTGTGCTGCAACAACAGAAGACAAGGGCCAGGCAACAGATCGTTTATTAAGAAAATCAACACATATTTGTACATTTTCATGTACATTATTATAGATTATTGTTAGCAGAAAAACAGTCTTCTGATTGGTGGTTTCTCGCTGAATGGTAATCTTTCATCTCTTTGTGGCTGTTTCATGAATGTCAGATCATCTATATGCTAACTGTATCCGCCTACGCAAAGTCTGTTGTGATTGGTTGTTGGACCAGTCTTCGTTCACATTTACCTCACGACCAATATTTGGGACATAAACATTGACGTAAATTACTGTCTACCAATTTGGCTAGCAGCCAGCTCTCACCACAGTACTACTGGCGAATTGGTGTGGTATTCCCCCCTGACAACCTGCAACCTAGCTATATTACCTTTCCCCTTTAGGGAAGGAGGCAAGAAAAGATCAATCTCAAAATTTGTACATCTCAAATCACCCTGTGTTGGTCTGTAGTCAGCAGTAAGGTCTTCATATTGGCAAACAACTTCAGAAGCCACTTTAAACAGTCTGTAATTGACTGGCCTCAAATGATTGTCTCCTAGGTTCTGTAGTCATGCTACACTAGTGCTCCACAGTGTGGGCGGCCAGGAAGGTGGTATAACGATCCACATAGTTACACTTTCCAGTTTGTGTTAATTAAAACACTTTGTTTTGATAAGGATATTTCACAAAATGTCATCCATAATTTGACACGAAGTCGATAATCTACGAGAAATCAGCAGTTCAATCTCTGTTTTAGTCTTCACCCATGTAACATAAATTCACACAGTGGATCCCAGTCTTGAGCCACCTTGCTTGGTGACCATATTCCAAACATGAGTGTGACGGAGTTCAGTCTACACCAATGCTAACGACCTAGACTCACAACATTAGTTATTCCCTAGTAGACCAATGAATTTATCCCCTTAATTCCAAATAGCTCAGTGGTAACGTCTCTGAGTACAACATTGGGTGACGCGGATTTGAATCCTAGTTGGAAGAGGGATATAAGCTCCTTCAACGTTTCAGATGCATCAGACAGACATTAATTTATTCTTTGTTGTTTGGTGAAATCATTGTTGTCTGCAAAATTATCGTATATTGGATTTCTGTTCCCCGGAGAACACTTAGTAATTCGATAGTTTAACTACACTATTTTTGCAATAGAAGTCAGTACAACATTTTCAAATTAAGATAGCAAGTGTATTCACAATGTACGGAGTTTCATAATCAAATGAAAGATCTACTCATTTGCAACCTACTTCCTTGAACGAAGACAAAGTATTTGAAAATCAATGAGATGCCCACTAGCAACTGGCCCTATTTAGGTAGGTAGTTACCTGGGGATCTAGTGGGAAGCCGTGACCAGTAGGGTGCATCAGGTTGGGTTTGAGGACAAATACTCGCCAAAGAAGACATTGGCTAGCGGTCGTGAATTAGCAGAAGTTAGAATTCACGGACTGACTAGCCATTGGATCGGGTCCCAGTGAGTGGCTGCTTGATGGTCTACGAGCTAGCTCTCCGACCTTGTAACCAGAAGGTTCTGGACCCTTGACTGACGAAACAGCTGTCTAGTACTCCGTAGTTGGTGATCCAATGGTTCTAACTGATATCAGCTCATGATGAAATCCTGTAACCAATCATTCAAATCCCTACAAACCAATACTTGAAGAACAAAGTATTCTATCTGACCTGACTTGGAATTATAACACAATCTTTATTAGATCCCATACACTACTAATACTGAATGATTGTGGCGAGTAGTTTTCTGTAGTTTAACGCGTTTACGTCTGCTATCTTGATTACCAGTTTTTGGTATCAGTAGGATCGCATTTTATGATCTAAATAATTTTAGTTTCTCAAGGATACTGGGGTAAGTTCACCCCCCCGAGCTGTGTCAACTTGAGATTGCAAATTTGATCTACCAATCTGTGTTAGATGAGTAATGCCCACTAGCGACTTGCCCTATTCAGGTAGGTAGTTACCTGGGGTTCTAGTGAGAAGTCATGACCAGTAGGGTGCAGCAGGTCGGGTGTGAGGACAAATACTCGCTGAAGACATTGGCTAGGGATCGCGCTATGTCGTGAATTGGCTGGTAGAAGTTAGAATTCATGGGCCTTCGGATCGTGTCCCAGTGGCTTAATGGTCTACGAGCTCGCCTTGTAACCAGAAGGTCTTGGGTCCGAATCCCGGTGGGTGCGTGCTGCTTAAGAGTCCCAAACTAGGACGAAACAGTTGTCCAGTACTTCCAGGTTTTCCAATGGTTCTCTTACTAATGTCAGCTCATGATGAAATCCTGTAACCAATCAAATCCCTACAAACCAACACTTGAAAACGATATTGTTTTTACTGACGTTTCGCTATTTAATGCTGATAGCTTTATCAAAGTATAATACAAATGTGTAACGTTACAAACTACTGATTGATTAATTTAAGTAGTAGGAGATCCGTCACGCCAAGCAGAGTGCTGCTTGTGTCCGCCAGATCGAAGTGACTCAAACACTGGGACAATAGTTTCATCCCATCTTTTTGCCGGGAAGGGGGAGGGGGATCGAGTTCATCATGGATTGATGTGAGTGGTCTTCACCTACTTGTGTCACTCAATCAGTAGTATGTGTCATCATTAATTTTACATTTTTTCTCATATGTATTTCTAATTCACTATCTCTATTCTTTCCTTTTTTCATATACAGATGATTATGAATTGTACCCAGGCCATGTTCACCCGTGTGTTCAACCGATTCGTACAGGTCCCTGTAGAGCTTTTTTCAGAATGTATGCCTATGATATACGATTAAATCGTTGTGTACCATTCGTTTATGGTGGTTGTTTAGGCACTGCAAATCGTTTTGAAACGAAACGTGATTGTCAAGAATCCTGTTCAGCATTTTTATATGCAGATGACGTATTTGGATATTATAAAAATAAGTAAATAATTGAGTCTCTGTTTCCTGTGTTCAATGGGATAACTTACTGGTTGTTTTTGTTGTTTGTTGTTTCAACACGATTCATTTTGTCATTTTTTGACGAAATAATATAAACATTAAGTTTCTTGATGCATAGATTGTCTTTTAATATTTTTTGAAATTCAATTTATACTACTTATTCATGTATAAAAGTAGTAAGAGAAAAAGGTGGAAGATTTACTGTAAGTGTAGAATTTGGTTAGTGGGGGTAGAATATAATTCCATATTACACATGTGATACGGTACTAAGATCAGGATGACGTTGTTTCGAGCACAGTTTAATGTTCATGCATATGTCTTTTGTACTCACACAACTTCCTAATTTGCATCATACAGCCCTACTCGCACTATATGTCAGGAATAGGTAATCTAATTGACCCCGATCTACTAGTTCGACCTACGAAGGAATAATGTAAGAGTATCATTTTGACCCTCTGAGGTATGATTATATGCAGTATTGGGTGTATATAGGATATAGGATCTTAGCAGCACATCTTCACTTCATTCTGAAGCCTATTTTAAGTTGTGCTATTTGGCGCTCGTCAGCAAGGTATATCTGCAACCATGAAGAAACTCATGTCCCTTCTGAGATTCGAACTCGCATCACCCAGTAACTGCTGCAGTCAGAGACGTTACCATTGAGCTATTCAGGCGCGAGATTGGTCTCCTGTAGGACTGTACTGGATATTTTTGATTGGACACTAGTAACTAGTTCGATGTGTCTAGCTCTTGGTTTGGTGTAGACTGAATTCTGTCAGTCAGGTTTGCAATGTGGCCACCATTCTAGGTAGCTCACCATCACAGTGATATCAGATAGTTGGAGGCAATCAGCAGGAAGCTTTGCACCTAGGTTTCGTGCTAGTTGGCATTGACTAGTCAGGAAGGCGTATCTGCAACCTTGAAGGAACTCATATCCCTTCCGAGACTCGAACCCACGTTACCCAGTGTGTGCTGTAGTCAGATAAGTTACCACTGAGCTATTAGGATTCAGTGGTCAAGCTTTAATTTCCTCCTCATATGATCGAACAGCCAACTCACTGCTTCCCATTTGGGTGTCTGTAGTGAATTGGACTGTTTGTCCTTGGTAGGATCCCTAGACCTACACGCAGCGTCATTTAACGGGCTTAGAAACGGCTAGTGAGCTAGTAAGCTAGGCGAGGTGATATATGCGTATTCAGCATAAATTAAAAAGACAGGTTAGAAAAGAATACTCTTTTCTAAATTTTTCTTCAAAGATGTATATATAATTAAACAGTGTTTCTAAAGCTGAAAATCGCCTATAAAGGTTGGTAGCACAGCGGTTAGGACTCTCACTGACCGTACACATGGTCCGGGGTTCGATCCCCTGCCGGTGCACACCTAATATCAATGGTCAGCCTGCGAAATTTGGGCTACGGATATCACATGCTGAAAATTCCATACCTGTACCAAAAATACTGTGTGGTTTCAAGTTTTAATCAAAAATATTAAAAAAATGTTATAATGATTATTATCAGTTGGGAACCGAAGGAATACATACCAAATTATTGCAGCTGGTAAAAACGGTTTAAGGTAGCAAATTTGGTTCGACAAACCGCTTCTGTGTGCACAGGCTTTTCCTTGCGTATATAAAAGCAGCTTCCCTGTGGACAGAAGATGTTGGCAGCAGAAATTCTTCGAATGACTTGACCCTACCTAACATATCACTTCAGAGGCGTGTCTGTTGTATGAGAACAAGGTAATTAAGAATTGAGTTATTTGTTTCGTAATGTAGTATCATCTTACATTTGACAGAGGGAGCGAATCGCATCCCAAGCATTCGAAGATTGCTGCTCCTCAAGGTGTGTGTTCATAAGACTCTGCATTTTATCAGCGTCTTCCCCAAGGAGGCAGGACTATGACATCGAGATTATTCCCTGGTGGTAACAAGTCAATCCCTGAGTCTCTGAAGTCAGTTAGGTTTTAGTCCATTAGTACATCTATAATGAAATTAAACAGGTAAGGAAGGGGACAGTGGGCTGGTATCCCTGACGGACACCGATGGTTGTCATCACAGCAGTCAGATGACAACTCCGTAAGCCATTACCTGGCTGCATGAGTTCTCGGAGAGTGCTTTGTTAGTTGTGATGTATTTTCTCGGCATTCCATTTACATCCAAATGTTGTCATAGTACCTTTCGTTAGACAGAATCGAATATGGCTTTCAGGTGAAGAAATATGACGATTGTTGGACGCCGGCAAGTATGCTTGCATTCCATAATCTGTCCAAGCATGAAGATATGATCAATAACCCTCTTCCTGGTCTAAAGTCTATCTGGTTCTCGTGTTTTTTCCTCCCTAGCACCACTTCTGCCTTAGTCCTCGGAAAACCGGAACTGTGTGTTCAAAAAGAAACTGGTTCAACCCTTACATTTACCATGTACCTAGCTCAGTTGGTCTCCTTTATTCCCGCTTTTTCATCCCCTTCATTTGCCTCTTTTCAATTTTTAAAATTATTATTCTTTTAACTTGTTTCCATAATCATTCCATTCACACCTTTAATCGTTAAAAGGAACTATTTTATGATCCTATTTAGTTTTGCTTCCAAGCTCTTTGTAATCTATATTCACACCTTCAAACTTTCATATCAAGTTGTAATCTATTATGACTCCTAATCATCTTCGTTACTACGTGGAATTAAACAAATGACAATTGTATCTCTGTACACTTATGTATATAAATGCGATTGTACAGCTTTTGAGAATGAAATCACCGAAAAGACGAATACCTTTGCTGAACTTCTTGTTCTCATCTCTTATTTCTTCTCAACCTAACTCTGTTTTAGTCAGCATTGCTTGCCGGGGAAGATGGTGGTATGGTGTGCATAAAATACTTCCTGGCCATCTCAATCAATGTAATGTAATTAAAAAGTATAATAATAATAATAATACGGAAAGGTAGCACATAAACTAACTTATGCTTGCAAAGTTGCCAGAGTAATGAATGTTTACCACAGTGGTAAAATCTGATTGGTTTTTTGTTCCATTTGCGTATTTTTACTAATATTGTTCCCTTGGGTTCTGAGGGGAATATACGGATTCGACAGCACGCCTCCACTTTGTTCTATTCTTTGCGGTCCTCTTAAGCTGTGCCCACTATTGCCCACAGTCTCGCATCTCCTCCTTGCATGAGCTCCTCCATGTCTCCCTCGGAATAACGCCCAACTCGTCCTTCCGCTTTCAGGTTCCACTCGTGCAATTGCCTGCATTGAGTGCTATTCCATTCGACGGTTCATTCAACCTGTGTCCAGTCCATCTCCATTTTCTTCGGAATATTTGTTGAGCGACAGGTTCCTGGTAAGTTTGTTCCGTTGTCTTCTTGCTGCTAATTCTTTTTGGCTGGCTATTTGATATTCAGTATCGAGCCAGCTAAGTGGGCAACTGTTGATAGATGTCTGAAGTGGATTGCTGGAAACACTTTTCGTGACTCACACTGCAAGTTTCTGACTCATATAGAGGAACTGACTGACTGACTTCACATTTGTGTTGAACAGAATCCGAATCTGGTTCTTTATGTTGTTGAGTTAGTGTAGAAGATATCCAAACTGGTTCTAGGTTGGTTGAGGAAAGCGTATCTTGCCTCCCCGAATCCGGCTGGTTGGCTTTGATATCTCCATCCGTTCCGCTGGCTTATGGTTGAAACTGTGCTGCCTAGATAAGTGAAGGAAGTGACCTCTGTCAAATCTCTTCCGTTGATGGTGACTGGTGCTAGTTGTTATTGTTGTTGCGGTTTATTGGTCATCTTCATCACCTCCGTCTACTCTGTGTTCACCTGGAGTGCTGTCTTCTCTGTCTGCCAGTCTCTTTAGCCAGTTTGTTGCTTTTCGTCTGTAGGTCTTCGAGTTTGTGAACAGTAGACATAAATCATACACGTGAAATCCAGATCTTTTAGAGTTTTCCTTTCAGAGATCCAGCTTATTTCTGTCTCCTCGCACCTTATGCATAATCTTCTGCATAATCCAGTCCACCACAGTTAGGACTATAATCATCGGTGGTAATAGGCCCTCAGACTTGTCTTACTCCTGTATTCACTTCGAACGCCTCTATGAGTTCTCCGTTGTGGACCCCCTAACACGTGGTACTGTTGAATGAGGTTGGTAAATACTTTAGGGCAATGCAAGCAGTTTTCAAATTGTTTCTCGGTCAGTGCTCTCTATCGAAGACCTTTTTAAAGTCGATGAAATTGAGGTAGAGGTTAAACTGCCATTCTATCAACAATCAATGTTGGTACAATTTACATTCTAACTGTTTGACTATTCAGCTAGTCTGCAGTTACACTCGATAATATGAGAAACAGTAGTAGACTGAGGAGTAGTGAGTAGTTTCAGAATCTTGATGATGACAACAAGAAGTGAATACTTTTGTACCAATGCAAAACATTCTTATTCTGATTTGACACTAGTAAATAGTGTGCTTTGTCTAGTGCAAACTGAATTCTCTCAGTGAGGTTCGTAATATGGCCACCATTCTAGGTAGCTCGCGATCACGGTGTACATTGTTTATGATGATATTAGATGGTTGGAGGCAATCGGCAGGAAGCCTTGAACCTAGGTTAAGTGCTAGTTGACACTCATCGGCAAGGTGTATCTCATGTCCCCCCTTCTGAAATTTGAACCCGCGTCACCCAGTGAATACCGCAGTCAGAGACGTTACCACTGATGTATTTGGGCTCGCGATTGACCTCCTGTAGGACTGCAGTGGGTATTTTGATTGGACACTAGTTAGCTAGTGTGACGTATCTAGTCCTTTCTTTGGTGCAGACTGAATTCTATCAATTAGGTTTTGCAATGTGGCCACCATTCTAGGTAGCTCTCGATCACAGTCCAAAGGCTTCCTGCCAATTGCCTCCAACCATCTAACATTCTTATTCATTGATCATATCAACTGTGATCAAGATTTGACCAGACAGTTCCAAAATGATTGGGTGCCGAATGAGAAGCAGACATATCTATAACAAAATATATGCGAAAAATCTCAGTGAGATCCAACTGGTTGGGATGGAAGACAAACACTCACCAGCGATGGTTATGACTGTTGCAAGTCGCGCTAAAATCACGAATTCGTATAAGTTAGAATTCATGGGCTGGCCATTAAGTCAGGTGCCAGTGGCTTAGTGGTCTACAAGCTTGACTTGTACTCATAATGTCTTGAGTTTGAACCCCAGCGGCCGGTGCATAAAGACAATGAGTCCAAAACTGGGACGAAACAGCTCACCGGCAATCTCTGCTTTTCAATGGTTCAGTAAGTAATATCAACCAGTGGTCAAACTTGAAACAGTAAAGGTCAATAAAGCAGAATTTAATGAATTCTCAAAAGAATAGACACGGAACAAAGAGTACTCTTTTCGATAAATTCATCATCAGGTTCTACAATTATATATACATTATAATGAACGAATGAATTAGTCTTATGAACGACATTAATGTTTAAATAACATCAAATCAATAATATTGATAAATTACAGCTGAACAGCATCAACATAAAATAAACCGAATGTCAGAAGATTTAGGAAAGGTAATGGTACAAATTCATGAATTTAATGAATTCATCAAATTTCGGTAGAACTCGTCAGCTGCTGAATACTCTACATGCACGTATATATATACTTTTGAAATTACATTGGGAGATATAAGACTGATAAGTAAACAAACTACATTGAATTAGTCATGCAGAAAGATAGGTGCGAATGTTTTCCAGGTCATGTTCAAATAGATAAGTGAGGGAGTGGGAGTATGAGAGGTTAAAATTAAGACGAAATGCATTACGCTTCAATTACATCACTTAGATAAACAATTAGTCATTAGAGAATATAACGAGAATTGCAAATAGAGTTATATCAATTGTAATAGTTATAATAACAATAATAATAATAGTGTTGAAGTGAGTTAAGATAATGCTATTGATAAAGGATAGTTTTAAATGAATCAAGAATAAGAATAATAATGATGATAAAAATAAGTAAAACGTATTACCATGGTAGATTCAGAAACTTGAAACAGATGAAATCCCTACAGACACACTCTTGGAAATCGAAATAAGTAGTTCTAACTTTCCTTTCGGCAAACATTCCCGATTTTCTTCAAGAGTATTAATCAAAGTTAGAATAACTAAGGTATATATATATATATATATATATATATATATATATATATAATATATACAATTCATGTTAAGAATATACTTCAACTTCATCGGTATATCCTGGCAACGACAGACCGACTTTTGCGTCGGTAGCATAGCGGTTAGGACGCTCGCCGACCATGCACATGGTCCGGGGTTCAATCCCCGGCCACCGACGCACTCCTTTACCTCGCTAAGCCAGAAATAATGCTGGTGAATAGGAAAGGTTGGGCATGAGGCTAGCAACCCCATCCTGTAAAATAAACACTGCTACAGAAACTTCAAGCCACTAGCTTGAAGCCCTATGTTCTACTGGGGAACGTGAAGGAAAAAAAATTGATTTTAAAAAAATCTTGAAGACTTTAGTCTGGTGTTTCACACTTCTCCACGTGGATCAATTCAGCATAAAGAACAATATACGGATTTTCAACATCTATGTTAATTCACTCACTTTTTCTACATGGGTCAGAAATTTGCAGTGGCCGGCCTGAATATCAAATGGCCGACCAAAAAGAATTAGCGAAAAGAAACTTTGATAACGAACCAGCTGAGGACCTATTGCTCAACAAATATGGCGTGGGAAGTGGCAATTAATTGGGCACACACTGAGGAAACCATCGAATGACATGGCGTGCAATGCAGGCCATCGGTCGAGTGGAATCTGTGTGGGAAACGACGAGCTGGGCGTTGGTCCGAAGGTGACATGAAGGAGAACGTGCGAAGAGATGACAGACTATGTGCAATCGTAGGCTGAGCTATAGAGGAAATCAGAAAATGGAACTTGCTGTTAAAGCTGTATATTGCCCTCGGAACCCAAGAGTGGATTGATCGGTGTCATATTTCGGCCTAACTTTGTTTTAGTATAGTTTTATTTCAGCTAAAACTGCTGGTTAAAGGAAGGCTATCCATATCACAAATCTTAACCATTTCAATCAACGTAGCTTCACAATCGCATCAGTTAACATACTTCGCGGCTAATTTCATTATTACTGATCAAACAGTTCCACCTGACACAAGAGAATAATACATACACCTGTGTTGGTTGATAGACGACTAGCCAATAGCTTCAGATATCAACGGCCATATCTCAAAGCTGTAAAGAACGAGAGATAGAGTAAACTGTTGAGCAGTACACACCTCCGATGACGAATAGCTGAATATCACGCTTGCGCTAAAGGTCATGCAAATTAGTATATGCCAAGCTAGTTTTTTGTTTCTGTTCTGAGACTGCGTCAGCAACCAGTCCATTAGTACTGAGACAACTTCAAAACAAGCAGTAAAGGTTAATAAAGCAGGATTTAATGAATTCATCAAATTTCGGTAGAACTCGTCAGCTACTGAATACTTTACATACACGGATATATATACTTATGAAATTACATTGGGAGATATAAGACTGATAAGTAAACAAACTACATTGAATTAGTCATGCAGAAAGACAGGTGAGAATTTTTTTCCAGGTCATGTTCAAACAGATAAGGGGAGAGGGAGTATGGGAGATCAAAATTAAGATAAATTGCATTACGCTTCAATTACATCACTTAGATAAACAATTAGTCATTAGAGAATATAACGAGAATCGCAAACAGAGTAATATCAATAGTAATAGTTATAATAACAATAATAATAATAGTGTTGAAGTGAGTTAAGATAATGCTACTGATAAAGGATAGTTTTAAAGGAATCAAGAATAATAAGTAAAACGTATTACCATGGTAGATTCAGAGTGATGACCATCTCGTTTTGTACACAGAGACCTGGTTTATAAACTCGAATTGCACAAGCCTCTGCAGTTGTAAGCATCTTCTTGTTTCTTTGTCTGCTGACAATAACAGTGAATGACTTGACCGCGTCGATATCATGTCCTTAGTTCACAAGATGCTTTGTTATTGAGGATTTTGGCACTTTGAACTCAGCTGTTTTCAACCATTTTGGCAAATGCTCCATCATGCGAGTAGACAATCTCCTTTCCGTACGACCTATGTATTTGCTTCCACAAACACACTCAAATTGATATACGCAGTTTGAAGTGTCGAGTGTGTTCTCATACCCAGAGTATTCAGCTGACTAGTTTGATGAATTCATTAAATCCTGCTTTATTAACCTTTATTGCTTGTTTTAAATTCGTAGCGGGAAATAAATGTTTTCAATTCTTGAGACAACCTAGCTAATAAGAGAAATGGTCAGCATAGTCAACCACTTCTCTCCCTATTTTTAAACCAATCGTCAATGCACAGCGATCCTGCAGCACCAACTCAGAATTGCATGTCAGAATTGAATGTATGGAGATTACTGCTCAAGGTGTTCAGGAGACACACGAATAGAACTTGTGCACTTTGGTACAGTATAATTCCATTATGGGTGAAATTTATTTTGATAAAGTTTCACAGTGTTTGTTATACAGTAATATTTACTGATGACCACGTTTCGAGCACAATTTATTACTGCTCATAATCATATCAAGACAATATTCACACAACTTTCTAACTTCGTTTATATAATTCCATTATTTTTCATCGCTTGACTTGACTGGTCGTAGTTTCTTGCATATTTCCGGTATGAGCGATGAGTCATTCCTACTGCACGTGTTGGGTGTAGACTCGATGAACAAGGATTTAATAGTCAACCTCTTTCTCAACCTATTTATTTTACTTTTTAGAATATTGACTCTGTCCCACCCTATTGTGTGCTTGTGTGTTAATGCATACAGTGCAATCTCTGAGCTTTTTTCTAAATTACTTATCTTCGTGGGTGGGGTCAATCACTCTTGCCTTAGCTAAATTCTTATGTTCTGACAGGCAATGTGACTACCCCTGACCTACTAGTTTGATCTATGTAGTTGACCTCGCTCACAGTCATTGCAAGGTATTTTGTAAATTATATTATTTTGTCTAAATTTTACCCATAATGTTCAGGAGACACTCTGAATTTTATCAGCAGCATCTCCACATTTTAGGACTGTATCGCCGCCATACGCTAGATCGTACGGAATCTTCCCCCTCAGAAACTGAAATCAATCAGGATCACATATATAGTGAAATTAAACATAAATACTAGCGATCTCTGACAGACACCATTGGTCATCGAATTCCCAAGTAAAACTGTAGTGAAACGTCACATTAAACTGAGTAATTTTCAAACCGCAAAAACATTTGCAAATTGTGAATTTGACTCCGTGTAAAAGCACTCTGCTGAAGTAGTTAACCAGATTTCGGGTGTTTTCAGTTGACTGAGCTCTCTAAGCTGAGTTAAATCGAGTACACACAGTTGATGAGATCGGTCTTAAACAAGCAAAACAGCCGTCCAGTGATTTGATCACTTCAACCTATCTAACAAGTGGTGTACTCATTCGGTTTGGCATCCTACAGTTTAAATTCACCGCTTTCAATAAATTAAATACATATCAATGGATATTATTTGACAGAAATATTATCAAAAACAATTGTTACACCAAGGTCATTCGTTACGTTAACCAATGATATGCTTAATATCCAAATATGTGTTGGGCGCTTGTGATTGGTTGAAAATGGCAAACGACCTTGTCGTTGTCAATGACATTGAAAATGTGTCATATACACAATAAACACAACAATAAATATCAACAGTTTTTAATTGATAAAAAATAATAATTACATCCACTCAAAACTATTCAGTTATTATAATCAATGTATAGAATTAATTGTCTGTTGTTGGTGTGTTACACTTTATGGTTTTTACAAAAACATGTGATTATGTCATCAAAATTGTTTAGCAGTTTTTTGAACATGTTTGAACATGAATAACAATAATGATGGTTGACTGGTTAGTTGGTTTTTAGCAAGGAATATAATAATTTAAAGTGAAATGCATAAAAAAGCTCAATACGAATAGTTGCATATAGTAATATAATAATGATAGCAATAATTAATTGGGATATTATATGCCATTTGTCCTTGAATTACCATTCAAAGCTGTACCATTTTGATTGGCTGTAAAATAAGAAGAAAGTTGATAAAGTAAAATAAATGTGAAGGTATAGACATATAATGACAATTAATTGTAAGTGAAATCATGATTTTTAGGGATATGGTCGACTGAAATAAGTTAGAGAACCATTGAAAACCAAAGAGAGCTGGACAGCTGTTTCGTACTAAATTGGGACTTTTCAGTAGCAAGCACCTACAATCCCACTGGGGGTCTTATCTTCGATGCCTTGTCCGATTATAGGCGTACACTGATGAAGAGGCCTAGACTGAGACGAAACAGCTGTCAATTCAGTACTCCCTGGTTCTCTAGCTGGATTCCATTTGTGTCTAGAATTTTCGTCAATCAGATACTTGGACAGAATCATCCGAGAATTAGGTGTGATAAGGTGGGTGAAGTGATGAAATCCTTCAAGACACCTGAATTGGTTCCATCTGGAGATGAAGTTTCACCTCACTTAATTTGTGACACTGACTAATTTTGAATGGAATCCCGATTAAGGATACTTTTTATGGTATTTAAACCGTTTAAATGAGATTCCCCAAATATGTACCTCAGTAAATAACATGCCCCATACTGGAGATCAGATAGCTGGTCAGAAAGAATTAGCAACAAGAAAGTATAGGAACGAGGCAGTCAAGAACGTGTTCCCCAAAAGATATCTCGAAGAAAATGGTGACAGGTAGGACACATGTTATGGATACCGTTAGGCGACATCGCGCACCAGGTCATCTCTCGAGTGGAACCTGAGTGGGGAACAACCAGTTGGGAGTCTGAGGGCGAAATGGAGGAGATGAAACAATAGACAATGAGGACTGCAAAGCACAGGACAAAGTGGATATGGGCTTATGAAGCCTTACATTCCCACTCGAAACCCAAGAGTATAATAGTAATATGACATGTTGCTTTCTAAATTATTGATAGACATCGATACCAGTTAAGAGGGTCTTTTTCTCATGATTTCTATGTGAATGTTTGATTTAGCTTCAAGGCATTTTGAAGTTTAGGTAGCAGTAGTGCTATTTTTCTTTGTTTTTTTGTTAGCCTCCTGCCCAGCTTACCCTATTTCTCCCGGCTTCCTACCAGATAAACAAAATTTGGCGGCCTACTTAAATCACTGAGCTATCAAATTTTGTTCCATCCATCAGGATGTATCATATTTGCTGCATTTCAAATTGTTTTAATCATCCAATTGCGTCCACGAATCGTAACTTACTAACGCACAGCTTTTCAAAATGGTTTCAGCCTACTGCTGCGAGTGTTTTGCAGGAAAGTGAGGAAAAACTTCGTGGAGAGCAATGGAACCTGCTTTTGGATGGAAGAAATCTGTTGCAAGGCATACATTATCGACTGTTATGTCACTTGAACATCTTGCATAAGAAGTAAATATCTTGCAATAAAATACGCTGAAAATTCTGTAGAGCGTTTATAATGAACTTTCCAGAATACGGGTGTTATTATTAACATCATCATTAAACTAGATGAGGTTTTAGTGATACCTCAGCCGGTAGTCGAACTTGGATCATATGCATGGCATTTGTAATCATAGAATCACTGATTCAATGTTCTACGTCCCTATAAATATGCTGAGATTAAACTTTCATACAACCGAGTGAAGAGAAAGGAAAGATTACGACATAGACCAAACAATTAAGTAGATTTGGAAACTTAATAATAGTGAGTTCAACTCAGTAAGTGAAGATCAGAATCACAATTAAGTGGAATATTAACTGTAATTTTCTAGCTCATTTGCTTTTGTATTTTTTTCCCGTTGAGTATTTATTTATTTATTATTCCCTTGGGTTCCGAGTGGAACATAGGGCTGGCTTCAACAACACATCTCCGCTTTCTCCTATCTTCTGCCGTCCTCTTCAGCTGGGTTCACGATTGACCATAATCTCTCATCTCCTCCACTCACTCTCGCACCGATGACTCACTCGTCGCTTCCTGTCGGGATTCCACTCGAGCGATGGTCTGCATTGAGCACGATGTCATTCAACGGCCTCCTCAACGTATGTCAGACCCATTTCCATTTCCTCCTACATATTTGATTGAATCTTGTATATTACTTTGAAGGATTTTTCGAAAGGTGCTGAATGTCCTGAGTTGACCAGATGTTCTGTCACTGAACTGTATACACGTTTTTGCTCTCCTTTTACTAGCCAGGCTGGGTAATGTTCGTGAGCGCGTTTTCCAAGTCGGCGCATGGTACGGCCGATGTACTCAGCTCCACAAGAGCAAGTAAACTGGTATATGCACGTTGAGGTGGCCCAATGCGACAGCTTGTCTTTCGCGAAAACGCGCTCGCGAACACTACCCAGCCTGGCTAGTAAAAGGAGACCAAAAACGTGTATACGGTTCAGTGACAGAACATCTGGTCAACTCAGGACATTCAGCGCCTTTCGAAAAATCCTTCAAAGTAATATACAAGATTCAATCAAACCTATCAAACGGAGTCAAATCAAGACACCTGGGCATAGCTGAGGCGCTATCCATCCAAAAGCTGAAACCCACGCTTTGTATTCAAAAGAATTACGTCCAACCCCTCTCCCTACCATGGCCATCATAAACAGGTAAAATTTTTTTTGGTAATGACAATCTCATCGCCCTTCTTATCTAAACTTCCTCTTTATTCATGTTATTTTAAGTTTTTCTTAATCCCTGTCTACACTACCATATTTTCATATCCACACTTCCTGTTTATTTTGGCATTTTACTATTTCTACATATTTAATCACTGATTGCATAAACAATTATTCATCATATTAGTTTTTTATCCAAATATCCTGTATATTTTGTTCTTTCTACATTTCTAACCCCCAATTGCACAATGTCAATCTTCTTAGTTATTATAATGCTACTTTGTTCGAGTTTTATCCGCCACCCTGTTTATTATGGCATTCTAACTCCTAATTGTAATTTTTATTAATTTGACCCATAACCGGAAATTATTCTGGAACTTTCCCATCCATTTGCTATAAAAACACGAATGTACAGCCTAGATGATGACTTCATCGAAAAGAAAATTTCCTTCGCTGCAATTGTCTTTTTAATAACTCCTATGACCCATTGTATATATTCCTATATATTTGTTGAGCGATGGGTTCTTGGTTAGTTTATTCGTAGAGTTTCTTGTTGCTATTAATTCCTGGCTGACCATTTGGTCCTCAATATGAAGACAGCAAAGTGGGCAGCTGTTGATAAAAGTCTGCAATAGCCTGTTGGAAATGCTTTCAGTGACGCGCGGTGCAGTTTCTAACCCACACAGTCACTTAACATTTGCGTCGAAGGTCCAGAAATCTTGTTTTTCATGCTGGTTTAGTTAGGGCAGAAGATTTACAAAATCATCTCAGATTGATGAAGGTTATCTTGCCTTTCCGATTCTGTTTTTCACACCTTCATCCTTAGGAGGTGTAGATTTAGGAGGAAATGGAGATGGGTCTGGTATACGTTGAGGGGGCCGTTGAATGACATCGTGTTCAATGCAGACCATGGCTGGAGTGGAATTCTGATAAGAAACAAAGAGTGGGTTGTCGGTGCGAGGGTGACGTGGAGAAGGAGTTCAGAGACTATGGGCTAAAGTGAGACTAGCTAAAGGGGACAGTAGTAGAAGGTGAAGTTGTGTTTTTGAACCCGTATGCTCCACTCGGAAGCCAAGGGAACAATAAAAGTAGTTAGGTAGATAGAGAGAGACATAGGAGATGCATAGGTGTTTCGAAGGTAGAATACTCGCTAAATGATCACATAGTCTGGGGTTCAGTTCTCCATCAGGGCATTCCTAAAACCTCATCTAGCCCGTAGTAAGTCAGATAAAGATGGAAGGTTAGATGTGAGACTAGGCATCCCACGTTGTAAGAATAACACAGTCCCTTTGGAAACTTCACGGCTTGGAGCAATTTGTTCCACTCAGACAGCGGGAAAGAGGGACAAAGAGAGGCTAACCACCGAATCTTTCACCAAAGAAGTAACTTTTGTAAAACAAAAATATAATATTATTATGATAACTTGAGATTTTAAAGAAAAATAAAATATAAACTAACAAAGATCACCATTGATTTTTCTTGCATATTGTGAATACGACTCATTCGTGTGCATTAAATATGGAATATTCCGACTTCTAGAGGTGTTGTTGTTGTTAGTGTTGGTTTGGCGTTATTATATTTATGTGTACTACTTGATACAGTTGAATCTGGTGAATGTTGTGATTGACGTACACTGGCTGACTCCACAATACCTTCATCAACCTCACCATCATCATCATCATCATCGTCACCGCCATGATCATTGACAACTTCGTCAGGATAATATTGATGATGATTTGTAGGATTATTTTGCCAGATCAATTTTCGTTCTTCTGTCGGGGATACAGCATCTGGTGTACGAGCAATTCTTGGTCGACTTTCAAAAACCCCTTGACCTTCTTGACGATTAATAATAATTTTTTTCACTTTTCTACCATCTATAGTTTGTGTAGAAATTTCTTTTGGTAATAGTGATGAATAATCCTCATTTAGAGGAATATTTTTATTGCGATTTGGTGTTGTACATCTTGGTGTTAATTCTGTGAAATTGTAATGAAAAAAGAAAACAGAGGAAAAGAGACAGATTTAGAAAGATGAATTGTATCAATGTTATTTGGACTGATAGTGGCTAGCAGTGGGATGTAGGAAACGTCTTCCACCCTAATTCACACTTGTCAACTGGATATACCTGTTCCTACCACAATGTTTAATAGTGTCCCCACTGACACTTGAATCCATAAACCCTCCATTTCAAACACTGAAGTGTACGCTGATCAAATTGTTGAGCAATATTGAGGTTAGGCGTCAGTCGAGTGCTAGGTAAGGAGGGGAAATCAGTCGACGAGGCTGTGAAATTACATCGACTGAGATGGTTAGGACATGTGTTACGTACGCCTAGTCATTGATCGCCTTCCTCGACGGGCAATGTTAGCTGATATAGGGTCAGGCTGGAAAAGAGCTAGCGGCGGTCAAACCAAAACATGGCACCAGTCAATGAAATCTACAACAGTTAGTCTAAGCCATGTAGGAAGGTGTAGACTTCCTGGTTGGAGTCCTCGGGATGGTGAAAACCAATGGTTGGAAACAATTGGTGACATGGCTCAAAATCGTTCTCAATGACTGGCGCCGATGCATCCACTCCTTGTGACTTATGATTTCCAAGAAAACTATATTATTCTTCGTTATCACTATTCCTTTGTCTCACACCTCTGTTTACTGTCTATATTATGCATTTCTCCTACTTTCTTCTCCTGCTTTGTGTGTGTGTGAGTGTGGCGACTTGAACTGCCGCACACATGTGCAAAGTTCTATGTCGAAAACAGACAGACAGACAACGTCACATGCTAGTCGGCCTCTCGAGTACAGACCGAATGGGGAAGGATAAGTTGGGTTTCATAGAGGAGATCGTTTGCGAAGGAAATGAAGGCTTATGGGCAATTATGGAGCCAGTTAAAAAGTACTATACAGATCAAAGTGCAATACAGAGGTGCGGCTGAATCCTTATGTTCCAACCGCAACACAAGGGAATAGCAATATTAGCAGTATTATATAATACTGAGCTGTTAAAATCTACTTTGAGTTTCTTCTGTGATGTACGTATGCCATATACATCCCATGTAAAATCAATCGAAGAGGCTATAAAGTTACATAGATTGAGATGGTTAGGTCACGTGCTGCGCACGCCTAACCATCGCCTCCCCCACCCCGACGGGCATTACTAGCTGATATAGGTGCAGGTTGGAAAAGAGTAAGTGGTGGCCAAACAAAAACATCGCATCAATCAATCCATGAAATCTTTGACAGTTAAACTGAGTCAGGTAGGCAGGGAGATGCAGACTTCCGGGTTGGGGCCAGCCCTCGGGACTCTAAGAATCAATGGCTGGAGACAATAGGTGACATGGCTCAAAATCGTTGTCAATGGCTTACGCAGATGTATTCAGTCTTTGTAATCTTTCATATTCCTTTCTACCATTACTCATTCTGTTTCACTCTTATACTTGTCAAAACTCTATTGATTCTCTTCACTCATTTTCTTGTCTACCTTTATGTGGTATTTGGAACGTGGCAACTGGAACTGCTGCACTTCGATGCCAAGTTCTATGTTGAATCCAGACAGAGACAGACATCCCATGTTATGCCTCGCAATCTAGTCAATTTTATGTCTAAAACTTTCCACGAGACAAAATATAATAGAGAAAATTTGTAGCTCAGGTGGATGATTGTGATGTAATTGTGTTCTCTGGGCTGATGAAAGTCTACAGTTTGTTTGAAGTGGCCTTCATGACACGCTGGCCAAGTTTCTGATTCGTATAGTAACATTGACTTCCCATTGGAGTTGAAAATCCGTATCTTATTTTCCATGCTGAGTGCTGTTCATCTGCCCCACATAGACTTGAGAGTAATGAAAGCTTGCCTTGCTTTCCCGTTCCTCGCTTTGATATCTTCATCAATCCCGTCCGCCTGCAGTTGAAACTATGCTTCCCATTTAGGTAGGTAGGTAGAGGAGGTTGCTACTTTCAGATTTCTCCCATTTATGCTGGCTGACTGTCGTTTGTTGTTGTTGCTGCTGTTGGCCAGGAATCTTCATCATCACCCCTGTTTTATCTATGTTCATCTGAAATTCCTATCTTTGATGCTTCTTCTGACAACTTATTGCTTTTCTCTTGCATATCTTCCAGTTTGTGTGATATTAGACATATATCATCTGCGACATTCACATCGTCTAGAGTCTTATTGTCGGTTGTCCAGCGTATTCCTGTCTCCTCGCTCCCTGTGTAAAGTCTGACGCATAATCCAGTCCACCACAATTAAGAATACCATCGTCAGTGATAATAGGTAGGCAGCCAGCTCCTGTGTGCACTTCGAACACCTCGCTGCGGTTTTTTGTTGCGGATCACCTTACGCGTGGCACTGTCATACAGCTGTCAGTAATAATGAGGTTAAGCTTAGAGTGTTTGGTAAGGAGGGAGGAATCAGTCAGTGCGACTGTAAACTTATATCTATTGAGGTAGCTAGAAAGTGCATTAAGTATGCTAGGCTATCATCACCTTCTTGAACGAGCTGTGTTAGCTGATATGGAATCAAGTCGGACAAAATACGACCTCAATCCATGAGATCTCTTACCAGCGATTTGAGTCATGTAGGTGGGTAGGGGGAAGATCGTCTGGCTGGAGTTCTTCATACTCCAAGAATTAATAACTGGCGACTTTTGGTGACAAAAGTCACATTGGTTGTCAGTGCCTCATATGTGTTTTAGCTTATTGGGATCTCTCTCAATACTTTTGTCTGTCTGTCTGTCCTTCCTTCTTTTAACGGACCCATTCAGACGGACCGCACACATACGACTATCTACTGGGATCCAGTCAAGAAGTGATTTTTCTGCCCTAACACCGAGTGCTATCCCAACACCTGCAAGTCCTCGCGAGGTAGCTGAGGGGTCTCCCGACACCCATAAAGTGAATTTTGCAGATTCGTCTTATTGACCGAGTGAGGTTAAATGAATGACCACACTCGGGTCTTGCATGCGTGTCTCCGAAACACAACATACATCCATGGCTCAAGATGCCAGAGTTCTTGCTAGTGATGCCTGTTGTCCAATTCAGCAGAGAGTCCTGACGTTAAATGCTCCTATATGAAGTTGCCGACGTGGCTTCAAAAGGCTATCTGGGGTGTTTCTATGGCTCTCATCGTTATTTGTGGTCAAAGAGTGAAGTGAAGGTGCCTCACTAACTTGAAGAATAGTACAAACTGTAGTAGGGGAATATAAGATGATGAAGGTGATGTGGGTGGAGGAGAATGATGCTCAGGAAGGCTTCGAGTGCTTTTGGTAGTGTGTGGGTGGTTGTTACTTCCTGGCTGCCCACACCGTGGAATTTGATTGATTCTTTGAGTACCTGAAACAGAGAGAGGGTTAGTGTTGGGTGACCGCAGAACCCAGAGGATAAGTGCTTGAGGCCGGTCACACACGGCCTGTATGAACTGGTTTCTTGGTTTGGTTCCGTATTAGTAAACTTATCGCCAACTACGGACCACCGTAGGTGGAGTAAGTCGGGATGTACAATTTTTTAGGTCGACCTTTTCTAACCCCGTCTCTCCGGAGTGGAGAGACAGCATAGCTAGTTGGGATGCTGGTCATCTGAGGGAAACACCTTACTGCTCTTACATCCCTGTTCCCCAGTAGTACGACTTCGCCCTCAAACCCCCAGCATAGTGTAACTGTTTTTAGTCTAATCGCTATCCTAACAACCTTCCTGGCATGGTAGGACCTGCAGGAACATTGGTTCCAGCCAGTGTAGCTTGTTGGGTCATTGCGACGTGCAAGCCCGACCACCACGTCAAGGTAGCAGCTACTTAGTAAACATTAAATCAGTCAGAGGTCTATCTATATAGGGAAAAGTTACCTTGCCCAAATGGTCGAATACGACAGGTCATAGAAACTCAAGGTCATTGTCATCATGAGTTACAAAATACTCTGTATCGATTATTTCTAAGTTTAAAATTCAAAATTACAACGAATCATTTATTTCTTCATGTTCAATTATTGGATAATGCGACAAACAGCGGGCAATGAGGAAACAGGCATAAAATGGACTCACACAAAATACTTGGAGAATCTGGACTTCGCCGATGATATATGTCTGATTTCCCACAAACTGGAAGATATGCAAGTGAAAAGCAACAAGTTGGCAGAAGAAGCATCAAAGATAGGACTTCAGGTGAACATAGAGGAAACAGAGGTGATGAAAATTCCTGGGCAACACCACCACCACCACCAACAACAACAACAGACAGCACAAATGGAAGGAACCTGAAAGAAACAACCTCTTTTACCTACCTTGGAAGCATCGTTTCAACTACAGGCCGGTAGAAATGACGAGGATATCAAAGCAAGAATCCGAAAAGCAAGACAAGCTTTCACTACTCTCAAGTCTGTGTGGAGGCGAACAGTACTCAGCATCAAAACGAAGATAAGATCCGGATTTTCAACTCCAATGTGAAGTCAGTGCTACTCACTGTACGGATCAGAGACTTGCACTGCGCGTCATAAAGAGCATCTCAAACAAATTACAGGCCTTCATTAACAGTTGTCTTCGCTCAATACTCAAGACCAGATGGACGGCTAGAAAAGATCAGCAACAGGGACCTCTGGGAGCGAACCAACCAGGAACCGATTGTGAAACAAATAGGCAGGAAGAAATGGAGGTGGATTGGATTAGCCATACTCTGAGGAAACAATCCATCAAGTGACATCACTAGACAAGCCATTGCTCGAGTGGAGTCCGAAAGAGAAGCAGCGAGTTAGTCGTCAGTGCAAGGGTGAGTTGGAGGAGGTCATGTGAAGAGGAGATGAAAACGTGTGGGCAGACTTGTAGCCAGGTGAAGACTCTAGCAGAGAACCGAACGCAATGGAGACGCACGGCTGAAGCCTTATGTTCCTCTGGGAATTAAAGGAAACAATAATGATTATTATTATTTACTCACCTTCTGAGAAACTTTGTGTAATTGTTGCTAAACTATCGCGTAAATTTGATTGATTACACGTGTCATCATTGTAATGATTGTTCAAATTGGAGCCACGTCTATCAATGAAATGAAAAAAAATTTTTAGAAAAAATTAATGAACAATAAATGAAGCAATTATTAAACAGTTGATATCATTAAAGGAAATCATTTCGTAATAATTTAGGTAAGTGTAGAACTTTGGCACTGTGGTGGTAGAATATAATTAATTCCATATTACATAAGTTTATTTTAGATATGATAGAGAAGATTTGTGGATGATTTTGGTGTGGTTGTGTTCTCTGAGCTAGCTGGATGGTTTATTTGTGTAGCTTTCAATGCCCCCTACTACGTGACATCTTCAGAGCATACTTCAATTCGAATTGAAGTCAGCTTTTAGGTTTCTCCACGAGTTTATTAATCATCTCTCCCGGTAACCTTGGACGTGATTGGTTGTTTTTGTGTGTTTTTACACCTTCTAGGCTACTTATATTGGTAGTGATTGTTTCCTTGACTTGAAGTTTGACCCTCTGTGCGTGAGGTTTCCTTCTTATCAATTGATAAATATTGTCTATCTCAATGTGTCTATTGATTGACGATTCACTGGAATACCAGGTAGCCTTCTAAAAATTCTCTAGCAATTTTGATGTTTCCTTTGTCTCTGGGTGAGTCTAAATGGTTTAATTTAATGCCTAAAACTAATAATGCTAGTAGAATGTATGGTAGTATTAAGATACATGAACCAGGTTACCCCATACGACCAATAGTAGATTTCGGAAATACCCCTACTTATGAATTATCAAAACACTTAGCTCTAATATTATGCCGCATTAGAAATCGTCCAATATCTAGACTAAATAATTCATATGAGATGAAAAATAAACTAAATGAAATTCAACTAGGGAATGGTGAAACAATGGTTAGTTTTGATATAACTGGTCTTTATACCAATATACCAATCAATATGGCCTTAGAAGCAGTTAAAAAGGAACTAACTACAGATGCTGAACTCAATCATAGAACAAAGCTGTCCATTGAAGAAATTATTTTAGGAATTCAGCTATGCCTCACATCTACTATCTTTAAATTCCAAGGCAAAATATATAGACAAACAGAAGGTGTAGCAATGGGATCACCAATATCCCCGATCGTAGCAGATATATCTATGGATAGCTGGGAAAATATGACACTTAGTACGTTTAACCCTACTCCAAAAATATGGTAGAGATATGTGGATGACACTTTCACAGTGTTAAAAACAGAACATATCTCTAGCTTCTTGACACACATAAACTCACTAGTAGAAGGAATAAAATTCACATTTGAATCAGAAAATGAACAAGCAGAATTAGCTATGTTAGATTGTAAAATAAAACTACACACTAGCGTTTATAAAAAACCAACGCATTCTAGTAGATATTTAAACTTTAATTTTTGATGTTTTCTCTGCCTAAAATTTGAACGTTGGTTATCCCAGTCGAATTGATGTCCATGGTTGTCTGTATGTAGTGATATGATAAGAAGGAAATGTCACACACAAAGGCTCAAACTTCAAGTCAAGGAAACAATCAGTTCCAATATAAGTAGTCTAGAAGGTGTGAAAACAGATGAAAGCAACCAATCACGATGTTGAAGGTTACCAGGAGAGATGACTAACAAACTCATGGAGAAATCTAAAAGCTCACTTCAACGAGTTGAAGTATTCACCGAAGATGTTGCCTAGTAGGTGGTAATGAAAGCTTCACAAATAAACCATCCAGCTAGTTGGCTCAGAGAACACAACCACATAAAAAAATAAAGCCTTTCTTATATGCCTTACTTCCTGTTGTAGACTTTCTCTGGTACTATTTAACCATTTTACTCCACTAGTGAAACATTTCGCTAATCCGATTTTTACTAACATAGGGTGGAAAGAGCCGAAATCCAAAATGTTACTCTGAATGTTTAGATTCTCTTTTAATACTAGTTTTCAACTTTCCATCTTGTTTCTTTTCCGTGATGTAATTCAGCACTGGGAGCTCCCATTTGTGACCTTCCAAGGCTTAAGTGAATTTAATTGTACCTCCCCTTGAGTTGATACATTCGAAAGGTGTAGTAATTATCTTGTGTTTCGGGCGAAGTTAAAGTATAGAGATCCGGGAGTGCAAACGCACTAACGACCTCAAAATCATGTCATTCGTTGGATAACGAGACCTGTCATCATTGCAGCATCACTACAAACGCTCTTCATGAAGTGAGGACCGAATTTCATCCCAATTTCGTTTCTAAGTACTGCTGTGGACAGTGCGCTGATAGGTCGTTAAGGTTACGATTAGGATAGAGTTAGGATGAAGGTTAGGGGTCAAAGTGTTTCATTTTTTATTATCCACATTTTTCTAGGAAAATCTTATCGACCCCCTTTCTGAAACTCATAGTAATTCAATCGAGGACTTTTGAGGAAGACTAAATAAGAGGATATAAAGCGATAAATGGGTTACAAAAAGAACTCTCCTTCAAACACTTCGATGAATACAAGTACAGAAAGTTTTCTAACTTAGAAACTGATACCCCTCATCATAATCAAGTGATATTCTTAAGTCACAACATGGAAAAATATCCTGTTTAGTGTATTCTGTCATTACGTTCTGTATTTCTCTCTCGTAAATAAACGTCATCTTTGTGTGTAAAAATCACTGCCTTTTTTCTGATTGGTCACCTCAAGGTCAGTTGTGCGTTCTCATTCCGTAGACCGTTATAGTTTTGTGGTGAGAGCTGTCTGCAAGCCAAAATTGTAGACAACAATTTACGTCAATGTCCACGTCCCAAATCAGGGTCATGAGAAAAAAACAACAATAACAAAGCTTAGCCTTGAGGAACTCACGAACCAATCACAGCACACTTAAGGTGTACATATACGATTCGCAAATATATGGCTTAACTTTCTGAGAAATGTTCACAAGCAGTATAGAATAACCTTCAGCGAGAAAATAACCAATCAGAAGACATTGCTTCTTTGCTGACAATAATATACGTAAAAATCTAAAAATATCTTTTGATCTTCTCAGTAAACGATCTGTTGCCTGGCCCTTGTCTTCTGTCGTTACAGTTTAACTTTGGCGTGTTTTTTATCATAAATGTGCCATCTACACATGGCCTCAGCATACTTGAGTAGGAGGGGGTAGGGGCAAACATTTCAAGCGTTAACTTCCCCCATCTATTCATAAATATATCTACCACAATTGAGGATATCAGTTACCCCATGAAAATTCCTGTTTGCTTGTATATTTTTCCTTGAAACATAAGTACTATAGAAGTCAGACATAGTTTAACTCCTAGTACAATGTCTTCTAGTGGTACTTTGGTTCTGAATCCGAGGTTTTGGTCAGAAATGAGGTCATGCCTAACTGCTTTTACGGTCATGTGTATTAGTACTTGTGTATATGTACAACAAATGATGTGTAGAAACTAACCATTTTTTCTTTCTTCACTGTCTAATTTTAAATTATTCAAAATTGTGTTTGAGTAAATAAGAATTAGTGTGTGTATGCCTACAGAGAAGAGCGATTATTGTTAATTATTATTATTTTTTTTTTAAATAATTACCAATATAAACTTCCGGATTAATTTATTCAAGCAATTATTAAGTGTCAACTATGAATTTGATGCGATTAAGGGAATATTAGTGGAAATGTATGTGATATTCAACTCTAACTTTATGATGAAGTGAGTTTCTAGAGTTCTTGATGAATATAAGAACCATTTGGCCTGATGAACATCTTTTTAATAATAATGGCTTTATCCTTAACTGGCGCGGAATCATGCTCTTCTCCACGCCAAGTAAAGTACTAAGTCACGTATTCTGGAGGGAATAAAAAATGTACTGGATGCATAACTTCTTGCACAACAAGCTGGATTCAGGAAGGGCAAATCATGTGCTTATCAAATTGTAACTTTGTCCATTATTAGCGAACAAAGCATAGAATTGCAGTCAGCTCTCTCTAGCTCATCTTCGTCGACTTTGAAAAAGCCATCGACAGCGTTGAGCATGAAAAATAAGATCCGGATTTTCAACTCTAATGTGAAGTCAGTGCTACTTACTGTACGGAACAGAGATTTGGCCAGAGTGTCACGAAGGCTACTTCGGACAGACTACAGACTTTCATCAATAGCTGTCTCCGCTAAACACTTTGCTCAAGATCAGATGGCCGGCCAGAAAAGATCAGCAACTGGGATCTCAGGCAATGAATGAACCAACTCAACCCAGCAGGAACCAATTGTGCAACAAATAAACAGGAAGAAATGGAGTTGAATTGGCCATATTCTGAGAAAACAAACCATCAAGTGAGTGACATCACACGCTAGGCCATCGCTCGAGTGGAACCCGAATGGGAAGTGACGAGTTGGTCGTCAGTGTGAGGGTGAAGAGGAGATGAAAGCATGTGAGCAGACGTGGAGCCAGGTGAAAACGTTGGTAGAGAACCGAACGCAATGGAGACGTTTGGCTGAAGCCCTATGTTCCTCAAGGAATTAAAGGAAACAATAATAATAAAAATAATCAACAGCGTTGACCGAGAAGTAATTTGGAAACTGTTTCAACACTATGGCGTTTCCGAAGTCGTTATCAATCTCATTCAACAGCTAGATGACAATGACAAGTGTCGAATGATGCATAACGAAGAACCAGAGTAGCCTTTGAAGTGAAGAAGGGAGTAAGACAAGGCTGCCTGCCTACTATCACCGATGATATTCCTAATTGTGGTGGACTGGATTATGTGGGAGAGTGCGCGTGGGGGGGCGAGAAGATGCGAATACGTTGGACCAATAAGAAGACTATAGAAGATCTAGATTTCACGAGTGGATTGTTTATGATTAATGTCACACAAACTCGAAGATTAACAGGCGAAGACCAACAAACTGGCAGAAGATGTGAGCAAAGAAGACACGACTACAGGTGAACATAGAGAAGACAGAGGTGATGAAGATAACCAACCAACCAAGCAACAGCAACAACAACAATTAGCACCAATCACCATCAGCGGATATATTTGAAAGAGGTAACTTCCTTCACTTATCTAGGAAGCATCTTATCAACTATGAGCCCAACAAACGGATGAAGATGTGAGAACCAGAATCGGAAAGGCAAGATACACCTTCATCAATCTGAGATCATTTTGGAAATCTCCTGCCTAACTTAACCAGCATAAACAACAAGATTCGGATCTTCGACACAAATGTGAAGTCACTCACTTCTATATTGGTCAGAAACTTGAAGTGTCCAGCACGAAAAGCATTTCCAACAGGCTACTACAGACTTTTATCAACAGCTGCTGGAAGTTAAGGTGGCTGGCGAGAAAGAATTAGAGACAAGAAACCCTGGGAACGAGCTAGCCAAGAAGCTATCGCAGGTAATTGAGATGGGTCAGTCACACACTGAGGAGACCGTCGAATGACATAGTACTCCAGGCCAGCTTTCTACTGGAAGCTGAAGAGGAGACAATAAGTGCGGTATTTTAGGGTGACATGGAAGAGATCGGGTGAGGAGGAGGAGGAGGTTAGGGACTATGGGTAATCGTATGGACAGCCGAAGAGGACCTCTGAGAATAGGAAAATGTGTAGATGTGCTGTAGAGGCCATGTGTTCTACTCGGGACTCAAGAGACTAATAATGTTAATATTATAACAATTATCCTTAACGGTACCCTTGATACAATGTGGCATTTTCAGTATGTAGTACAATATGTTGCATTTTATTTTCTCTTTACATTGCATAGTAAAGGGAAAAGCAACAAACAGGCTCTATACACTGGTAACAATGTCAATAAGAATATGAACGTATAATTTAAATTAAGTAGAAATAGTAATAAGAATAATACTAATGAAGGAAAGAATATAAAAGCTGTTTGCTTACTGTTTCATAGGAAGTTAGTAGTTTCACGCTTAAACTTAATCGTCCTACCCTAAGATCTTTTATAATCGCTTTTAATCCTACCTGATCATATGCAGTGGGAGAGTTATGTATAAAAAGGATTCTCACAGTCCGACAGGAAGATGCTGACCAATTTTTTGCATTAATTCAAGCGTCTTTCCACAACATTATTCAACGAGTTGTGTTGGTGACACCCTATTCACCCTAATGACAGCTGTAACTACCCTTTCCAATGTCACAAATTCTATTTTAATTAGCCCAGGAAACATTAAGGTGGGGGGTGGAGGAGCAATAAAGAAGAATAGATAGAATACTGGAAGGGTTTGCAAAACTGTAAGCGTAGACACTGAGTGATACCAGATTGTCTTAACTTCCTCCTTACTTAGAAAGTTAGACGAAATATCTTCATAGAAATTAACATGAAAAGGGAAGACCAGGAAAGATCAGAGGAAAGACATAATCCAAGGTATTTAACATTCAAATTCAGTGTTTTCTATGATACAAGAATCATGGGAATGAACCAGTAATTCATGTAAATCACGTTTGAACGTGATTAGGTGATTACATCTGTGCCATTTTGAATGATTTTAAAGTGTGCCACTAATTGTCCTCAAGGATTGATTGTCAGCATTCTAAATAACTCCAGTCAGGCACTCTGCTTCTGTTTATAAGTGCCAAGACCAGTATTTTACAGATGCAGTGGATTGGTTTCTTGTTTTTATTCAGTCATGTCTAGTTTTTCTCCAGCTTAATCTTATGTCTACCAGCGTTGAAGAATGATGTCGTCTGACGCAGTTAACAAACAACGCAGATATCTTAATGGGTAAGGAATTAATAATTCTTTATTTGGCATATATACGTCTAATTTCATTTTAATGTGACCAGGTGAATGAAGGCATCTACTATCGAAAGCAGTTGTCATTTAAAGTTCACTACTATATCTCTGTGAATGGTGTAAATTATGAGAGAGAGAATTCTTGCTCAGTATAGAACCTATGATAGCTACAGAGCTGACCACAAGCTGAAATCAATTAGAGAAACACTAGGACAACTTTTCGTCCTAACTTGGAACTCTTCAGCAGTACGCACTCACCATCTGGCGTTCGGACCCAGGACCAACATTTGATAATTATTCTGATGGTCACTGGAGACTGGCCTCATACAGGAAGTTAGTTATCTGGGGTTCTAGCGAGACGTCGTAACCAGTGGGGTTCACTAAGTCAGACAAGATGACAGTTGCGCGCCAATGACATTGGCTGTTGTTGGCGCTAAATGTTTATCACGAAATGGTAGAAGTTGGGATTCATGAACCATTGGGTCATGTCCCAATGGTTGAATGGTCTAATAGCTCGCCTTGTAACCGTAGTATGCAATTTTTATGCAAGTAAGCTGTTGCCTTGTCGTGTTGGCCACGATTACATATCTCAGTGACTCAACTGGCTGAACAAATTTTGCTCCAGATCCTACTATTACCAGAAAGTTTGCATCGATAGTGGTTACTCTAAAAGTAGTTGTCATTATAGTGGAGTCATTCACTCTTTAATAAGGCTCTGTACGTGAAATAGTGCTGCTGAAGAATAAAGGTTTAACTGAAGTAAGGTGTTTCCTTTAGATGATTAGCAATCCATCTATGCTATCCCTAGGCTTCGAAGACGACAAGTTCAAGAAGGTCAACTCGTGATAGTGTACATCGTAATCAAAACAACCGGGGTGAGAATGCGGTGGTAAGATGTTAACATTGACGCGGGACTCTAACAACCACTACAAACAGTCTGTGTCTGGCTGGCCTTAAGCAGTTTTCACCCAGGTTCTTCGGTATACACAATCTACAACCTAAAAGACCGAAGACTTTTATCAACACCCGCCTTCACTGTCTCGGCGCTGAAGACAAGAACGAACCAACCGACAACTTATCGCCTAACTAAGAGATATGCAGAAGGAAATTGAGACGGATTGGACACATGCTGAGGAAACTGTTGAATGGAAACCAAATGGGGAACGACAAGTTGGGTGTCTGACGGCAAGATGGAGGAGATCATGGGAACAGGGTGAGAAGGAGATGTGTTGCTGAAGCCGTCTGTTCCACTTAGAACCCAAGGTAATAATAATAATAAAAAAATACACATATTAGTACGTACTGTTGATTTCTACTGGCAGTTGATGGACGATTTTCAGATATTGAATTTCGACCAGATCGTTGACTTGGTGTTGTTGGCCTTTGAAGTGGTAGATTATTACGTAAAACATTGTTAGGCAATCGTATTTCATTGTCTTTATTGAATAAAGGTTTACACCAATCAACACTACCATTCGCTTCTCCTTTCACTGTGGTATGTGTTGCATAGTGATGCTTTAAAAGACCTTCTCCAACCCATAAACGTGGATCACGTAGAACTGTTTGTGTTCCACATAGTGAGACTAGATCATTTGGATCTGGTGGAGGTAAATCTTGTCGGTCTAAATCAGCCTCCAGTGTTGAAGCATCCTCCTGGAAATATTTCAATAAATATTCATGGGGTTATTATAAAAGTAAAATAAACTAAAAACAAGGGTCAACCTGACACCGAGCACTTCCGTCCAATCAATCGACGGGAAAATAGAATTAAATAATTAATATGATCCGTTGCACAAGAGGTGGCTCAAGTGGTCTAGTGGATAACGCTTTGGCGTTTGAAACTATGGACACTGGGTTCGAGCCTCGGTGGGAACAGCATCACTCACTGAGGAATGCAGGTACATCCAGTTAGCTGACGAGTCCCAAATAGGACGAAACGCGCATCCTGGATTCCACTGCTAGTCACCATCAACAATTAAAGGGTAAGGTTTATTTTACACTTAAGTAGTGTAAGTACGTAAAGGTTTATTCCCCTGACGAGTTGAAAACAGGATGAAAGGAGCATCCTAAATTTCACTGCCAGCCGCCATCAGTCAAGTAACATTATCTTAATCTTAAAACATCATCAAAGAGGCCTCACTAGGAGTTGATATGTTAACAGACACCAAGCCTTTCAATCCATTATAATCCATCAGCAAACAAAAACCGGTAAGTTTTACGTTATTAGTGGCTGTTATAACCCATTGGTTGAATAACGCTTTGACGTTTGAAAGGGTAGATGCTGGATTCAGTTCTTAATAGGAATAACATCATTAACTGGGAGTAGAAGTGTCTTCAGTTGACGAGTCCCAGATAGGATAAAATTCACATCTTGGTTTCCACTGTTAGTCGTCATCAACGAAATAACAGTAAGAGTCTACAGGTTAATCAATGATTTCGCTTCCCATCTTTAATCTAGCAGTCAGTAAAGATTAATCCTACATTGATAGTAATGACTAAAATACTAAGTTTTTCCCTGAAAGTGTTTTGGAGAAACTGCATTTCGTTAGCATAATTACCTGAAGGAACAAGACTCTTTCCTGGGTAAAAGGTCATCTCTTGAGTTGCTGTAATAAGGAATAATTCCTATCGAACTTCGAACATGAGTAAAGTTTTCACTGAAAATACCATTGAATACTGAGTACAATTCAACTTGTTATGTTATAATGTGTAAAACTTCTTCACTGTATTATATTATCATTATTATTCCCTTGGTTTCCAAGTGGAACATAGGGCTGGCTTCAACCACACATCTTCACTTTCTTCTATTTTCTGCCATCCTCTTCAGCTTGGTCCACGATTGCCCATAATCTCTCATCTTACACAATCTCCTCCATATCACCCCTCAGACCGACGATCCATTCGTCGTCGCTTCCCATTTGGATTCCACTCGATCAACGACCTGCATTGCTCCCGATGTCATTTGACAGTCTCCTCGATGTATGCCTTATCAATCCATCTCCATTTTCTCCTACATATTTGTTGAGCGATCGGCTCTTGGTTGGTTTGTTCCCAGAATTTCTTGTTACTAATTCTTTCTGGCCATTTAATCTTCAGTATGGAACCAGCGAAGGCAGCTGTTGATAAAAATCTGCAACCTGTTGGAAATCCTTTTCGTGACACACTGGCCAAGTTTCTGACCCGTATAGAAGAACCGACTTCACATTGGTGTTGAAAATCCGAACTTGCTTTCTTACACTGAGTGAGTGTAGAAGATTTCCAAACTGGTTTCACGTCGGTTGATGAAGGCGTAGCTTGCCTTGCCTTTCTAATTCTGGCTGGCTGACTGGCTTTGACATCTTCATCCGTTCCACCGGCCTCTAGTTGAAACGATGGTTCCTAGATAAGTGAAGGAAATAATCTCTGTTAAATCTCTCTCGTTGATGGTGATTGGTACTGGTTGTTGTTGTTGATACTGTTGGTTGTCTTCATCACCTCCGTCTTCTCTATGTTCACTTGCAGTCCTGTCTTCGCTGCTTCTTCAGCCAATTTGTTACTTTTCGCCTGTAGGTCTTCGAATTTGTGTGACATTAAATATATCATCTGCGAAATCCAGATGTACTAGAGTCTTCATATCGGTGGTCCAGAGTGTTTTTGTCTACTCGCTCCCATGCAGAGTCTGATGCATAATTTAGTCCACCACAATTAAGAATATCATCAGTGATAATAGGCGGGCAGCCTTATCTTACACCTGTATGAACTTCGAACGCCTCACTGAGTTTTCTGTTGTGGATCCCCTGATATGTGACACTGTCATATAGCCAGCTGTTGAATGACGTTGATAGAGATTTGGGCACTGCACGTCATACTGTTGAAGCAGTTTCCAAATTACTTCTCATCACTCTGGTAGTATGTAATTCCATACTAATTTCATTATTGGATAATACCACACTCAATGAAAACGTATTATTTACTGGATGACAACGTTTCGAATACAATTCATTATTGTTCATAATCATATCAATTATTGCTACACAACTTCGAAACCTCTGTTTTATAACTTTTCATAATTCCTTCCTATCCGTCGTAAGGGTATAGTAGAATTTTCCAGATATCCATTTGGGCAAGTGTCAAGTCATTCTTACTGCACGTAGCATTATCGATCTCTCCCTTCACCTTGTGATATTAGATTTTAAGACTGTCATCCTATCCCATTCAATCGTATGGTTGTGTGTAGTAGGAAAGATTCATCTCCTGTTCCGAACATCTGGAAAATTCTACCAACCCCTCAACAAATAGGAAAGGAGTAAGAGAACTATAAAAGTCAAGTTTCGAAGTTGTGTAGCTGCAGTTGATGTATCCAACCAACTTGTTATGGCTTTTCTTCATTCCTTGAGGTTCACGGTTCCAGTGGCTGTTGACGTCGTTAGCCTCACATCAAACCTTCCATCTTTACCAGGCTTACTAAAGTCAAAACGAGCTGACAGGGGTGCGTCGACCGGGTATCGAACCTCGGACTATATGTATATTCGGTGAGCATTCTACCAGTAAACCGCCGACGCACTTTTTATTCTTGTTGATGAGTATTTCACGGGATTAATTTTTGTTGATTTGTGGGTTTATTCATACTATTTGTTTTTCTAACCTAATTAGAATGATAACAAAACTATTTAAATAATTGCGCTGAAATTATTGTGAGAATAATAATGATAATAATATTTATGAATCAACATTTCAGTTATTTGGAATACGCTGACAGAGAATAAACAAAAATAACCTTGAGATATCATTGGTACAATTCAAATATCTTGCGTGGTTCACACTTTCATCCAATAGAATTTTAAAGTCAAGGTTAAAACCTTGAAACAAGGCAGATGACCATTGGAATTGATGCAGAGTAAAATCTCGTGACTTTCAAAGTTGTAGCTCACTAATTTAGGCGCTGGGCTTCCAACCCCACTGAGTCATAAGTTTGATACCTACTTTATCTACCTAGGTGTAGGTAGACATAGCGCTATTAGCCCTCATATCAAATGGATGAGTTACAACGTCAAATAAGTGGAAATGCGTGTGATTGTAGAGTAACATAACATATAATATCTCACATCATAACTGTGGCTGATATAACCCCACTATATGTGAGAAAAATCTGTTCCAGTGACATGTTTCTAGTTCTTTGTGTTGTTGCTGCCCGAATTCTATCAAGATTGGTCAGAAACTGGCTTCAGGGTGTACTGGATACCTCTTTCATCTTTGTTTGGGACTACTCAGCAGTATGCAATCATCACCACACCACCAGGGATTAAGCCCAGGACCTTCAGGTTACAAGTTGAACTCGTGTAACATTCAGCTACTGAGTCAGAACCTAATGGCCTGTGGATTCCAACATCTGCTAATTCACGGTATAGCGCGACCACCAGCCAGTGATATCGGTGGCGAGTATTGTCCTCACTCCCAACCGGGTGGACACCACTCATTAGTTGCAACGAGGTCTCATCAAAACATAAGGTGATTTCACCCTGTAGTCAGTTACCGTCAAGCAACGGCTCAATGGTTTACAAACTCGCCTTGTAACCTGGTGGTGGTAGTGGAGTCACTGGTGTGCACCCCTGAAGAGTCTCAGACTAGGACGAAACGGCTGTCCAGTACTCCTTAGTTTTCAATGCTGGTTGTCTAACTGAAGTCAGTTCATGAATAATCTTGAATTCAGGCATATCTTTGTAAACAAGATCACGGATTTTAACAGTCAAGTTTCCAAAGTGGTCACCAAACGAACTGATTCAGCGATACTGTGAATGAGAGTTAAGTAATTAAGTGTAATCGGCAGTAGCTGTTGGCACTCTTCATCAAAGCATATCTACAACCTCAAAAGAATGTCAGTTAATTACTACTAAGTAACATTACTGAAGGTGCATTGGTGGCACAGAGGTGGAATGCTCTCCAACCACGCCTCATGTGGTCAAGGGTTCGATCTCCGGCCGATGCATTCCTTTACCCCACTAAGCCAGTAGTAGGACTGGTAAAGAGGGAAGGTGGGGTATAAGGCTAGCAACCCAATTCCGCAAAAAGAAACACCACTGCTACCGAAACTTGAAGCCTCTAGCTTGAAGCCCTATGTTCCACTGGGAACGTAAAGGAATAAAAAAACAACAGTACTGAAGATTTGACTGTTTGAATTAAGCAGTCGACCTTTAGGCATTAGGTTCAGCGTTTGAATTCCACACTAATTAATTTAGCTTGGACTGTTTGGTAGTACAATCTGTGCTTATACAAATAAGTGTGGCCCATAGCCCTGTGTACATGGAAAATCTACTCCCCAGATAACTGAGTTCTATCGCCAACACTGTAGAATCGATATACATACCATAAACACTAGGTGCATAAATCGAGGTTTTTAATTACCTCATCATCGTCCTCTTCAGCTTCATCATCTGAATCGTCTGCCGGAGGTTGTTCAGCTAGAAAGAGCAGAAATATACACAAGAAAATGATACATTTTTTTACAGGGATTAATTTAATGCGTTTATCTTTTTCGAAAATCACTATATTCAAACCAGAATCAATAATTAAATACGTAGTAGAATCTAAGAGATTATTACGTAACAGCGTTAGTGAGCTGATTACTGGACGACAATTATATACATCTCAAGCACTGAGTACTAGTCGAAATCTATTGCAAGGATTTGCAATATGACCCGTTAGTTAACTGACACAACCTTATGGTGTTTATCAATTTCCTTTACACATGACTTCAGGGATCAGTATTAGTAAGAATTCCTACTAAGTAGGAATCTCATAAACAATACCAGCTGGAAACATTTTCAACCTTTCTTCAATACTGACTGACCTTTCCTGGGACTTTTCTGGATTGGTCACGAACTATCTAAGGTTAGGAAACCATTGGAAACCAGGGAGTACTGGACATCTATTTCATCTTTGATTGTGATTCTTCAGTAGCATGCATGCCCCCCATTAACCTACTGGAGATCGAATAAATGACTTCCAGCTTACAAGGCCAGTTCACTGACCTTAGAGCCACTGAGATGGAATTCAGTGGACCACTGATTCTAACTGCTGACCATCTGGGATAATATGGAGTGATCAATTCCAAAATCAAGTAAACTCCTGCCCACCAAAACTGGAGAATTAAATTTTCATATAATTCTCAGGATAGGTTAGAGGATTTCATCATGAGTTGAAATCGGTTAGAGAACCATTGTAAAACCTGCAGGGAGTACTGGACAGCTGTTTTCCCCCAGTACGGGACTCTCCAGCGGTACGCACCCACCTCCACCGTTCAAACCCAGGACATTCTGGTCACAAGGTCGTGAGCTAGCTTGTAGACCATTAGTTCACTAGGACCCAATCCAATTGCCAGCCCATGAATTCTAATTTCCACCAATCCATAACCGATGCCAGCTCATTATGAAATCCTCCAACCAATCAAACAAAATCCCTGCAAATCAAGACTTGATAATTCTCAGGAAAGTACCAGTCTTTCATTCTCACTGTGATCCTTAATTCAAAACCAGTGCTTGATAGATGTTATATGCAATCAAGAACCCTTCAGAAGTTCATTTCGACTAAGTACTTATGAATTTAGAATCTAGAATCACCAGGTTTTGTAGCCAGCAGTTTCTTATAAAAGACACTAAGATGTATGCACAGAGAGGTGGTAAGAATTAGAAAAGCCTCACGTCTGGATCCTGATCTAGTTATTACGTAATAATACGCACACATGTAAAGTCAACTGTCTGCATATCTCTACAGCCTAAAAAATGGTGGTATACACAGTAGAGAAATCCCTGCAGTAGAATTGGGCATCTTATCAGTGCGCATTGATTTCACTGGTTTCCAAGATAATATATTGTTCCCTGGAGATATCAAAGTCGGGATCAGAAAAAACAAGACAGAGGAATTCATTACTCTGAAATCGACGTGGAGATCAATATCCCTCAGCAGTGGGAAAAGGATACGAATTATCAATACTGGTCTGAAGTCAGTCAGTATTTCTACATGATTTAGAGAATTGATACACGCGTCAAGAAAACCATTTCCGAATTAGTCTAATGCTCACTAGCGACTGGCTCTATTCAGTCAGTTACCTGGGGTTCTAGTGGGAAGGCGTGACCAGTTGGGTACAGCACGTTGAAGGTGAGGAGGAGAGTTACTCATCGAAGAAGACATTGCGAAATGGTTGCGCTATGTTATGCATTGACAGAAGTTAGGGATCATGGACTGGTCACTGGATATGGTCCCAGTGGATTAATGGTCTACGAGCTAGCTCACCAGCCTTGTAACCAGAAGGCCTTGGGTTCGAACCCTGACGACAGTGTGTGCGTAGTGCTGACGAGTCCCAACCTAGGCTGACGAAACATTTGTCCAGTACTCCCTGCAGGTTTTCCAATAGTTCACTAACTAATGTCAACTCATGATGAAATCCTCCAACCAATGAATACTGAAGACTTCGACCAACGTCTATCAGCCTTCTCTAGTCCAATACTGAAGATCAGATGGACAACCGGGAATGATAAGCAACAAAGAAATTTGGCAATGTAGTGAAGAACATAATACTCAACAAATATACATAAGGAAATGGGGATTGATTCGATATACACTTCAGACATCTTCGAATGGCATCACACACCAGGTAGACAAGTCAAACTAAAAATGGAAACAGATGAGTTTGCCAATCAATGAACATCTTGAGACGAAAATGGTAGACGTTTTCTGGTCACTGAAAGGTAACCATTTTTATTTTGCCTACTTCTCACTACTGATTGAATTCTACCAGTCAAGTTAGTGATAATAATCTATAAAACCAAGAGCTTGGCCATCATAATTCCCTTTGAATTGATGTTAGTTAGATAGAGGCAATTGAGAATAAACTATTGTGACCTAGATCTCATGTCAGCAGGTTCGCAATATCAGTTACCTTCACCGTTACAGTCATGTTGCATCATACAATTCATAAAAAAGAAAACTCACATGATCCCAATCTTTGTATAATAAACTCAAATTGACGATTCATTTCTGGCTGATCAGGTTTAATGAAATTCTTTAAAATATGTTTAAGATTCTGAAGAAAAATGATAAAAAGCAAATATATATTACTTATTTAGTAACCAAGTAGTATAATTTGATTTCGAAAAAATAGAAATTTAACTCCTGTATGAATGTATCTGAGCCACTGAGAACGATTTTGAGCCATATCACTAGTAGCATACAGCCGTCGGTTCCTGTCATCCAGGTGACTCCATCCAGCCAAGCAGTTTACATCTTTCTATGCGGCTGGCCCAAACAAAGAGTCGAAGAATTCTAGGACTGATGCCATGATTCGGTTTGACCACAACTCCTAACTCTCTTCCAACCTAACGCTATGTCAGCTAACATTATTCACTGAGGAAAGTGTTGTCTTGTCATGTGTAATACGTGTTCTAGTTCTATAGTAATCGATAGAGCAGCCTTACAACTGTATCGACTGACTCACCCTCCTTACCACCTAACACACTGCACCTAATCTTAATGCTGCTCACTATATTATACCACTTAACAAAGGAGATAGAATGCAAACATTTGTGGTCACACAGTGTGAAACCAGAGCAATTTGAGACTTTAAGATCGATTATTAGGTATGTAAAATTAACACGATAATGGTGCCCGCATTTCACGTTTACATAAATGTATGTGTTAGGAGTTAGTTATTTTAGTAGAATTATATGACTACAGAAACAGGAAGCACGCTGTGAAATATGTAGGTGATAACTGTTTGAATATTAGCGAGTTCAATTCATAAATTTGTAAAAGACTTAAAAATAACGATAATTATAAATTTAAAAAGTAACAAGAAATGAATACTACCCATCCTCGCCCCGTATCGCGTCCAGCCCACCCCCACCCCTATCAACACACACTAGTTAAGGCCTATTTAGAGAATACTCAGTGGTATATTTACACCATCATATAAAAGAAAAATAAACTGAGACTACCTTGAAATTTAAGCACGTCCGCCCTCCCTTCCTTCTTCACCAAACATCAATTGTAATTTAAAACTATCTATACTTTCATTGAACACTAGTAACTAGTGTAATGTGTCTAGTCCTTTGTTTGGTGCAGACTGAATTCTGCCAGTCAGGTTTGCAATGTAGTCACCATGCAAGGTAGCTAGCCATCACGGTGAATTTTGAATCGCTGATGTTAGATGGTTGAAGGCAATCGGCCACAGGAAGCCTAGTGTCCAGTCGAAAATATACAATACATTCCTAAAGAAGGTCAATCCTGAGAATGAAAAATCAAGTTTTTTGAGCAACGGCCAATATAACTTGCTCCACCACAAGCGCAGTTGAATTGGCAGATACAATTAGAAGTGGTTAGCTAGTCTAGGTACTTCATCTTTCAATCGAGAAATCACCACCAGTCGTATAGACTTGTAGTTTATCAGTACCTAAACTAACCACTTCTAATTGTATCTACCAATTCAACTGCGCCTGTAGTGGAGCGAGTTATATTGGCCGCTGCTCTAGGAACTCGATTTTTCGTGCTCGATCCGGAACATCTCTCTATATGGCTAAGTAAAGGTTTAGTGAAATCCATCAACACTTCGATATCAGACCACCTGGTCAAAATCGGCCACAAAGCCGGCACTGAAGAATCCTTCTCTGTCATCAGCCACCGGGTACCGAACAAATTACCGAAAACATCCAAGTACCACATACTTCAAACAGCTGAAGCTATCACGATTCGCCTTCAACAACTAGTGCTCTGTGTGTAAAAGAAGCGAGTCCAGCCAGCCACTGCAACTGCCCTGGCTGGCTTTCAGTGGAGACTACAAATTCATGAATTTGTATTATTATTTTTCCCAATCTCTCTGATATTCATTCGGTGTATCGTCATGTTGATGCTTTCGAACTGTAGTTCGTTGATATTATTATTATCATTATCGATGTTATTTAAATAACAGTAAAGTTGTTGTTAATAACACTAATTCATTCACTATTATGGATGGATATATAACTGTAGAACCTGATGAAGAGCAGGTTATCGAAAATGTGAATATTCTTTGTTCAGTAACCATTCTTTTGGAACCCTAATAGCAAGCAGCGAGTTGGTCGTCAGTGCGAGTGTGACACAAAGGAGGAGGTCATGCAGAAAGGAAATGAAAGCATGTAGGCAGACATGTAGCCAGGTCAAAACTTTGGCAGAGAACCAAACTCAATGTAGACGTGAGACTCAAGCCCTATGTTCCACTAGAAACTAAAGGAGAAAATAATGATAATAGTAATAATAAAGCCATCACCGAAAACCTTTTTTTGCAAATTTTTATCCACATATTATGCATTATTATTATTGTTCCCTTGGGTTCCTAGTGGAACATAGGGCTTCAACTGCACGTCTCCACTTCCTTCTGTCTTCTGCTGTACTTTTCACTTGCATCCATGTTAGTCCATACTGTTTCAACTCCTCTTCACACGATCTCCTCCATGTCAACCTTGGACGTCCTACTCGCCGCTTCCCTTTCGAGTTCCACTCGAGCGTTGGCCTGACGCGCGATGTCACCCAGCGGCCTCCTCAGCCAGTGAGTGTCCAATCCATCTCCACTTTCTCCTGCATATTTGTGTTGGGCGATTGGTTCTTGTTTTGTTTCTTCCCATAGTTTCTTGTTGGTGATTCTTTCCGGCCATCTGATATTCAGTGTAGAACGAAGACAGTTAGTTGTTGATAAAGGTCTGCAACAGGCTGTTGGAAATATTCTTTGTGACCCGCCGCCAAGTTCCTGATCCATCCGTATAGAAGAACTGACTTGACGTTTGTATTGAAAATCCGAATTTTGTTGTTGGTGCTGAGATGAGTGACGAATATTTCCAGATTGGTTTCAGGTTGATGAATGTGTTTCTCGCCTTCCCGATTCTCGATTTGACATCCTCCTCCGTTCCTCCTGCCTGTAGTTGAGACAATGCTCCCTCCCTAGATGAGTGAATGAAGTAACCTCTTTCAAATCCCTCCCGTTGATGGTGCATTAGTATTGTATATTAATTAATATAATACTACGATTACATAACAATTTAAAGATTATATAAGACAGACAGATCTATATATCTCAATAGTTGATAGAATCTGTAATTCCAAAATAATAACGACATTTATTAATAAGAGTGATTGAGCTGTGATAACACTGAAACTGTCATCAAGTTCATCATATATTTATTCTCATTATTATTATTGCTATTATTATTGTTATTATGTAACTTTTTTGCGTTCTTTCACATAAGAGATATATATCTACTTGTATAATATGAACTCTACATCAAGTCTATACTTCACTGGAATACATTTTTTTGACTAAATTACAAGTACTACTTAAAAGTAAAAGTAAGAAGCCATAAATTGTGATGAAATGGTGAATATACTCAACTGAGAGAATTGATGCATAATTGAACTTCATATATATACACATTTATATGCATCTATGCCAGTATGCAGTAAAGTTATGCTGGCGAATGAACGCATTTTGACATATAGACACATTTGAGCAAAAAAAAGCGTAGCTGAATGGTATTCAAGCAAGTATAAGACTCATGTAAAACAAAAAAGTATTTTAAAAATGGCATTAAACAAGGCCTACTACTCTTAATCTCATTATTTCACAACAGGTAGATAATGAGAGCCACTAACTACTCTTACAACTATTATGACTACTACAGTCATAATAATAATAACGATGATAATAATAATAATAATAATTATTATTTATTATTGTCATTAATTTATTTAATTACTTATAGGCTTGTTTACAAAAGTATTAATTATTGCCATCATTATTGTTATTGCTTTAATAATAATAATATTTATTGCCATTATCATATTAACAAAAGAAACAAATAAATAATTTCAGGTTTTGTTGGAGGATTTCATCATGAGCTGACATCGGTTAGAGAGAGAGAGAGAACCATTAGAAAACTAACCAGGGAGTACTGGACAGTCAGCTGTTTCGTCAACCTAGTTTGGGACTATTCATCAGTACGCACCTACCGGGGTTCGAAGTGGTCGCGCTATGACAGAAGTTGGAATTTATGGCCTCGGGTCCCTTTGGAAATCCACATTTTATTTTTCATGCTGAGTGCTGTTGACCTCCACACAGACTTGAGAGTAATGAAAACTTGCCTTGCCTTCCCGATCCTCACCTTGATATCCTCATCAGTTCCGTTCGCATGTAGTTGAAACGATGCTTCCCAGGTAGGTAGGTAGGTAAAGGAGGTTGCTTCTTTCAGATTTCTCCCATTTATGCTGATTGTTGTCTGTTGTCGTTGTTGCGGTGACTGTTGCTGTTGGCCAGGAATCTTCATCACCTCTGTTTTCTCTACGTTCACCTGAAGGCCTATCTCCTCTGGATGCTTCTTCTTCCAACTTGTTACTTTTCACTTGCATATCTTCCAGTTTGTGGGAAATCAGACACAAGTCATCGACGAAGTTCAGATCCTCCAATAATTTTGTGTGGGTCCATTTTATGCCTGTTTCCTCGTTGTCCGCTGTCTGTCGCATTATCCAGTATACTGGATACCGTCTTCACTTCGAAGGATTCCGTGAGTTTCCCTGTATGGATTACTTGGCATGCAGCATTGTCGTACAACTGTTGGATGAGATGTATCGTTAACTATTACATAATTTCATTTTATCTTTTAGAAAAGCCTTCTGATTAATTTTACTATATAGAATGAACGTGAAAAGATGAGACTTTCACCGATTGATTTAAACACACATAGTACAGAGTAATGGAATTATTATTATTACTATCATTATTATTATCATTATTATTATTGTACTATTGAACAGGTTTGAACTTGTTCAATCACATGTAGGTAGGTATCTACTACTGCTATTACTATTTTTTACTACTGACAAAGTTGAAAAACACAAACAAACAACATTTTGGCGCATATTTCTAGGCCTTTACAGTTTCACAATTCTATATTTTTAAACATATCAATATCTTATAAATCAGTGTGTTCTTTTTTATTTTACTATGCTCACAATTGACTGTTAACCAACGTTTCATTGACAAACAAAGGTATTATAGAGATG